AAATCTTTACCCCCAGAAGTATACTGCCTGAAAAACATTACCGAAGCCCATCTGCAGGGTGCTTTACTATGCCTTACAGAAAATACAGAAACTGTTACCTCAAGGTAAGTTTGTTTAGTACTTTTGGAGTGAATGGGGTAGGAGTCAGATGAATAGATTTAGAATGGGAGGAGACTAGAGTTTTAAGCATTGTCTTTTTAGGTTTGAAAACTGAGGCCCATGGTGACACAATCCTAAGATAGCAGAACCATTCTTCAAACCCATGTTCCTCTAATTTGAAATCTATGTCTTTTTCACTGTTCTGTGCTGTGAAATTATCTTGGCTCCCTTGAAAGTGGCACTCAGGACAGTGTGGGTACTTGCCATGATACTAGCACAAAAGCACTTTGTGTCATGTTCTCAGTAGCTCCATCCTAACCGTCAGCTCTGCCAGGAACAGGCCCCATTCTTTCCTGTTTTCTTTCTACAATACAAATTCTCATGACCCCTAGGCCCTCAGCTGCATATTTGTTTGTTGGCTGGTGCACTTGCTGTGATTATTTCCTAGGCAGTATCCTTGGCATTATTAATGAAGCCAATGGCCAAATGTTTTTTAACCAGAGGTACTAATGTACTAGTAACTTCTGATTAGATAACAAAGTGCTTAAAATGGTTGCTTTTCAACTTCCTACAAGTTTAAAAATTAATGTCCCTTAATTAATAGATGTTTTTTTCAAGGTAACACAAATGTCATTTTCAGAATGTTCTAATTCTTATCTACTAATCTAACATGCCACTTTTTTGATTCCTGTAAAATGATATGCATATATGAAGGCCATTTTGGGCAAAAACTTAAAAGGGAATGTAGTATTCTTTTTCTGGAATGAATATTTCTAGGGTTACACCAGACAAGTATGGGTCATACGATAAAAGTAATCAATATAAAATGTTGATTTAAGTCAGTACTGCACTTGGCAAAGTAAACTTCAAAGTGCCTCTTGAATGTTAAATTCAGACAAAATCCTTCTAGAGTCTATGAGGGAGAAATATTCAGCTGAAGTACTGATATCAAACCCTTAAAGCTGTGTATTTCCTAAAGATGTTTGTCATCGTGGAATGTCAGTCAATTGGTAAATATTTATTGGGCATCTGCTGTGTGTCAGCACTATGCTAAGCACTGAGGATAAAACAGAAACTGTCTATTGGAACTCTTCATAACCTTGGTCCCTCCTGCCTTTCCAGGCTTCTGACTCTTCCTTAACACATACTCTCCAATTCAGTAACAATGGCTTCCTGGCTTTGCCATGAACAAGATACTCCATTTCTTGGCTCCAGGCATTTTTCCTGATTGTCCCCCTGGCCTGGAATGCTCTCCTTCCTCCACTCTACCAATCTTACTGACTTCCTTTAAGTCCCAACTAAAATCCTATGTTTTACTGGAGGCCTCTCCCAACTTCTCTCAATTCTGCCTTCCTTTTCATTTCCTATTTATCCTGTATATAGCTTGCTTTGTATATATTTGCATGTTGTCCCCTCCATTTGATTGTAAATTTCAGGGACTTTCTTTTGCCTCTTTGTATGCACAGTGCCTGACACATAGTAGGCACTTAATGCTTACTGATTGAGAAGAACTAAGTGATGGAGGGACTGGAGGTCACAGTGAGGATAATGAATAGGATTTGGGGTGGCAAGGCAAAGGAAGATTGGGATCAGATAAGGGACTTTCAGAGTTCATGAACGTGGAAGTGGTGTAGTTGTGGGTGATGGGGAGATCAAGGCTTTGATCATCTTTGTGTGCGGTTGAGGTGGGGTGGAGTAGGTTATATGAAGCGAGTTAAGTTGAAGAACTCTGAGTTTAGGGTATAAACAGAAGGAGTATCAATATATTGTAGTCCCCTAGTATGAGGGCCGAAGTTGGAAGACTGAGCCAGGCACTGAACACGTGAACACTGAAGGGCAATATGGTAGGAGTTAACAGCTAACAGAATTTTGATTACTGAGTGATGGTGGAAGGGAGGGAGAAAGAACCTGAAAGTGGCAGTGGGGAGTGAGGAGTTGTCTATAGTTCTTCTACCTTGACCAGTGAGTTGGGGGATATGCAGACAGTGCTGCAAAGGCAGATCGGGGAAGTTGTGTCATCAGGAGGGAGGCCAAGTCTCAGAGAGAGCCAGAAGAAAGGAGTGGTAAAGGAAAAGATTTAATGTGAAACCAATTTTGTGGCCACTGGAGTAAGTATTCCAAAGAACACAGTGGGTGGCTTTTAGAGACAGGTTTTAGGAAAGTTGGATTGATGGGATTAGAAATAAAGGATGGGGCAGTAGGGGACAACCCAACAAACATCTATTATGTGCCTATGATACAAATAAGAAAATGTCCCTGTCCTCAAGGAGCTAAAAAGTGCATGTGTGGGGACTACCAGGATGAACCCCACACAAGACTATGATGTTCCTAGGAATCAAAAGGTAACAGCTGCTGATGGAAGTTACTTCGTACAATAGATAGACTAGGTTCAAGTTAGCAGCCAGAAGTTCAAAATCACTGGGATGGGGATAGTATGACCAGAGGGGAGTTTTTTAATCACTGAGGAACTTTAGATAGTTCTTCATTATCAATAGGAGTTTGGCCTCAGGATCAAATTCTCACAGGGCCTTAAATTCAGAATTGTACAAGGACCAAAAGGATTTGCTATTAATGGTAAGGTTCTCCGTGTGCTATTTGTAAATCATGAGTACTAACTACCTTTATCAAGACCCAGAACAATATAAAGTTTTACTGAAATCCGTTAAGACTGGCTCAACCATTCAAACAAAAATAGATGAAAAATGTGCGTAGCCCAGATTTTGAATGCACTGTTTGAGAGGTCACCTATTAAATTTGTCCATTAGCATTTCTTGTACTGGCATAACAGGTAAATGATACACCTAGGATTAACGTGGCCAGATTTCATTTGGAAAATTAAGCATTTTCAATGATCACATACTAGCTGATGTGGCAAAAGCCCATCTGATGTGCTAAGAAGAGCATTGATCTTGCAGTCCTAAAATAGATGAATTCTACACTTAACCTTCTAAAGAACATGTTTCCTTATTTGTAAAATAACATGTCTCCCTCAGAGTTTTTGTGAGGAAAAAAAAAGCATTTTGAAAGCACAACATAAAACGAGCTATTGACAAGCACAGATTATCATCACCTCACATACTAAAAATAATCCAAATCAAAATGGTGGGATTGGCATATTGCTGATGGCTTGAGTTCAAGAAGTGTAAAATAACAAAATTAAGTATGGATGTGATCAAGTTAAAAAGGAGATGCAGTGGTTAAGAAAGCAAAAATACTGATATTTTCAAGATACTAAAAGATCTAAAAATTTGGGCATCCAACATATTGGGTAAATCCCTCCATGAAGATCTTGAGAAATAGACAAGAATCATAGCTGATGAAGTAAAGGAAGGTTGCAACCTTGCAGTGGAAGGAATATAACCAACCTAAATATTCTTCCAAAGAACAAAATATGCAATACTTTCAAAATGAGAAACAAATGAACAATTATTGATCCTTTTGAACTTGCTATTAAAATTTAAAAGCATACATACTTTTTTCTAATGCTATTGGATCCACCCACTGCCTGACAGTGGCTGCTCAGGAGCACCCACAGTAAGATTTACATCATTGCAAGAAGCAAAAATAAGCAATACTGTCCAGAGATTTGATTTTTTAGCAACCCATGTGGGTTCCGCTTCCAGCAACAGCTCCTGTGGTATTGAGTAAGTACTTCTCTGCCATGATGATCTTCCAAAATTGAACCCAGGCTACTGGTAGGTAAGCTTCTTTGGAAAATTATCTTTAAACTGCTATACTGGACTCCCCAGAGTACTTGGGAACATTCCAGGTTGGTTGCTCATGGCACAATCAATCACTGGTGGACAATCTAGCTCAAGAGGCCCATCAGCCAGTCGAGCAAAACCACTGTTGGGCCTTCTACATGAGAAGCAGCAGCACCCTCCCTATACCTCCCAGCTTCTGAAGTAGCATGAGATTCAGATCTCCACCCCCCCCCCCCCACTTTTCAAACTAATCAAATCACATAACATGCTTTCGAGAAGTCTCACTTTGTTCTCAACATTTAAAATGAATAAACTTTGAGCAACCTTTAAACAAAACTCTCTATAAACATGTCATGAACACCCTTCCATCTCCCTCACCCCCCAGGCTACTGATTCTGGCTTTCTTGTTCTTCCATCTCCTGGCTCTGAGCATGTTCATGGGCTATCCCCTGTGCCTGAAGCTCTCCTTACTCACCCTTCCTCTGGCTTCCTCCAAACCTCTACAAGAAGCTTTTCCTGATGCCCCCTTGCTGATCACCTCCAGTTTATTCTGTCGATGTCGTCTGCATACCGTTGTTTGCTTGTTGTTTCCCCCTTTGGCTCCTTGAGAGTAGGGAGCTCTGTCTTGCTTTTCTATCCCCAATGCTTAGCACAGAGCCTTAACAAATGCTTGTTGACTTGACCTAACCTGGGGGGCTGAGAATTTGTTTTAAGAATTTAAAGGATATGTTGATATAGTATATTCATTTGAAAACATTTTGATAAGGGATTAATAGCCTTTGCTAGACTCCATGATACAAAAAAGATTAAGAAGCTCTGCTCTAGACTGTAGTCAAGTTAGTCTCCTGCAGATGTAAAAAAACCAATGTGAATTAGGCACTGGCTAATAATATACTAGAAACATCTTTATTTCAAAGACGTTTATGCTATTTCTCTGGTAACAGTACTTTGCTCTCCTCCAAAAACAAAAACTAAAAACCACAACAGTGCTCACTTCTAATGTTCAAGAGATGCTTTGTCTTAAAGTGAGTTACATTAATTCTAATAGTTTAACTGGTAGAATATAATTACTATTTCCCAAAGACTTGTAAACGTAATTCAACGTGTAAAAAGCAATGATTAAACACATGACTTAGGTTCAGTGTAATATTTTATTTTCCATAGTATTAAACTAAAGCCAAGAAAATATCACATTAATTTCAAAAAACAAAACTTACTTTATTAAGAACAAAATAATACAAACTGTGGTACTCTGTAATAGGAGATCATCAATATTTTACATAATAAACAAAATCACCAATATACCTACATACTTAGTTTTCTTTAAACTACATTGAACAACACAGTGAGTGGAAAATAGATTTTAGCCTTAATGGCAGCAAACAAATCTCTTGAAAAAATGTAACATGCATATTTTAGTATTGACTACTTGGGAGATGAAGAGAGCTCTGAAAGCAGTTGATTATTTCCTCAAAAGCCACTTCCAAAACCCATACCATAACCACCTCTGTTTCCTCCTCGAGGGAATCCCCCAGACCCTCTATATCCTCCTCCACCCATTCCTCCACTGTAGCCTCCTCCAGATCCTCTATAACCACCACCTGAGCCTCTGTATCCTCCTCCACTTCCATACCCTCCTTGGTAAGAATTAGTGCCCCCACCGTATCCTCTCCCACTATATCCTCCACCTTGATAGCCAGAACCTCGCTGACCACCTCGACCTCTGAATCCACCTCCATTGTCATATCTAGCCATCTTGGGTGGGCGAGGACCATCTCCATACCTAGGAAAGGAAAACACAATTTTAACAAATACAGAGATATAAACAGAGATAGGATCCAATATGGTCAAACTAATTCAATTAGTGATTAAGTTTTTTTTTTAATTTAAAATACACTAACAAGGCAAAAATTACTACTAGAAAAAAAACCATTAATATTATTTTCTCTTCAGTTCACTGAAACCTCCTGCTGTGCCTACTTGTCAATGCATTATTGGCAAGCAACGAATATGGGCAAATAATATTTTTTGCTGGAAAAAAGCCAAATGCACATAGCAACAAAGTATTCAATCTTGTTACTCATTATCAAGAAGAGAGGTGGTACAGTAACTAGATCAGCCAGAAGGCTTTTTTCTTTTTGTTAAGATTCAGACTTGAGTATGTAGGCACACATTCTGGAAGGGGCCATTGGAGAAAAGTTTTAAAATGCAAGGAAAAAATTAATAACTGGCTACTGGACTAAGAAGCAATGATTAGTTTTTCAGTAACTTGTTCCTTTTTTAAATGTTTTGCACTGTGAAATTGTAAGCTCAAATTGTAGCACTTTCTCAATAGAGATTGGGATCAATATCTAAAAGCTAGTAATAAAGCTACAATTCAAATCAACTTTTTCTGTTGCCTATAAAAACAAGCAACTAGATCACACAATATATGCTTCAGTGTTAGAATAATGAATCAAAAAATGCAAGTTAAATTTATTGCATTCACCTGTTTGATACCACAAAAATATTAACACTAACTTGCTAGCTACTTAATTTGACAATTTTTTTTTTTTGCTTTTTGTGAGGCAATTGGGGTTAAGTGACTTGCCCAGAGTCACACAGCTAGTAAGTGTCAAGTGTCTGAGGCCACATTTGAACTCAGGTAATTCAACAGTTTCTAAATGGATTTTTATAAAGTCATCTGATATCTGAGGCTAGTTACCCCCAAACCCCATCCTCAAACCTTTTTCAGCATCATCACCCTCTCCCCACTTTTTCCTCGAGCAAAAGAGATCTTTACAATTCATTCAGGCTAATCCCCAAGCCCTAAATCCCATTCCTGTCCACCTTTCTCAGGTGCCTAAAACCATATTCAAGTTTCAATCCTAAAAAATTCTTCCCCTTATCCCTCTGAATGCTCCAGCTACAGTCCCACCTGCCTTGTTCCTATCCCTGTTTCTCACACCTCAATGCTCACCCTCTCCTAAGCCCCTTTTCAATCTAGCTTGGGCCCCACCACTCAACAGAAACTGCTCTTTAAAAAGACACCAATGATCTCCAGCAGGCAAATTCAATGACTTTTAACTAGTTCTCATTTTCACTGATGCCTCTAACCACTCTTTTGCTCTCCCTTCTACTTCCTTAACCTTCAGAGACATCATTCTTCTAGTTTTGTTTTTTGTTTTTTTAGGCAATGGGGGTTAAGTGACTTGCCCAGGATCACACAGTTAGTAAGTGTCAAGTGCTTGGTCTAAGGCCGAATTTGAACTCAGGTCCTCCTGACTTCAGGGCAGGTGCTCTATCCACTGCACCACCTAGCTGCCCCGCTCTTCTAGTTTACTTCTCTCCTCATCTGCTTCCTGACCTCTAAAGTGGGTGGTTCCATTAAGGGTGTGATCACTTAGCCTTCTCTCCTTTGGCAATCCGATTCACTCACACCAGCTTCAACTATTTACAAATAACTCCATGTACATTTTGAATCCTGACCTATACAACCAAGTTCACCCTTCCCTCTAAACCTGTTGCTTGCTGTGTGATTTGTCTGTAGCACCATGTAATTTACTCTATGATTGCACATACTGAAGGTAGGTGATCTTTAATTTCTCCATTTTACTTCAAATATCCAATAATTTTGGTCAATTCCACCTTCCCAAATCACGTGAAGTTGATATCCTGCTTTGGTGCCTATCCTCATCATGCTACATTCTTTATGATTTACTTAGACTATTATAATTGCCTCTTAACAGTGAAGTTATCCTGCCTCCCCCCCTCCCCGCCCCCAAATCCTTCCTTCATACTGTTGACAGAATATTTTGTCCAATACACCAATTAGGTGTATCCCTACAAATGCTTTGTATCTTGTGTTCTGAGCACAACACTTACTAAATGTTTGTTATAGTCTACCCTTCTGTTCATGTTAAATAGCACTTCATAAACAATTTCATTTGCTGTATCACTGTGATGACTTCTCTATAATACTGTGCCAACAGAGCAAAAGCTCTGGCAGGTCCTATCTAACTGCAAAGTCTTTCTGACAAATCTTTTAAGTCTTCACATAGCATTCTTTAATTTACAAAAGCACATTCACATATTGATCTCAAGTTACCCTTTAAGATGTACACGGTAACTGTTCTTTAGCCAAAATACAGAACAAAAGCCCTGGATTAAAAATATAGAATCCCTTTAAAGATTTAAAGAAACATTTTTGATTAATCCTAATGCCTACCAATTGAGAAAACAATGTGATTTACTTTCACTTTGTACAGTAATAGCATACAGTAAGTACAGGACATCTTCCCAAATGTCTGGGGTTTTAGTCCTCACCCAGTTACTAATCAATTTAACCCCTCTGGGCCTCAAATCTCTTCAGAGGTGAGTGGCAGGGTGTTTAGTGATAAAACTAGATGATTTTAATAAATGGCACATTGGGAACTTTTGTGACTCTTATTTGATACTTGTCATTATCTTAAAAGAGAAAAACATAGAACTTACCGTGCATTGCCAATCATGAGACTAATACCAGCAGCTGAAGGCCTAGAGATTTGCCGAATCATGTTTAGCATACGCTCATTTGAGGGATCCAAATTGCTGATTATTTCAGGCTCTTTGGTTACTTCAACAACCAGAGCCTCCATGGCTGCTCGAAGGGCAGTTATGCAAGCGGCAGCCTCATGGGACATCTGTAGTCTGATCCTAAATTAAATTTGTAATGAAAATTTTAAATGTTAGAAAAAAGGCCAGAAAAAACCTGGATTTTCACTCCCCTTTATGCCACCTTATTCTAACTAGCCAAGAGTGATACTAAGACTTTTGGTACACCCTCTCTCAGTGTTTTGGAGTGTGCATGTGAGCATGCATGTGCACCTGCACCTCCTCCAGAGCCTTTTTACCACTAAAGGAAAGGGGCTGGATCTTGTGCCCACCATTTTGTTGGAAAAACAGGCTTAAGGGACCATGTTTTATCATTTTTCAATGCCATCCACATTCATGAACTTGAGAAGCTTTAGAAGGGGATCCCAAAGCTCCATTTATTAATGGTTGACAACTACATATCTACTTTTCCCTCTTAGAAGGGGAGTTGAGGGGTGGGGGGCAAACACAAGAATGTGTTTCAACTACTTCATTGCTAGAAGGATGTTATATTACTATGAATTATTACTACTGAAAAAAGCATACTATAAAAGCTGTGCTATATTGTAAAAAAAAAACTTTAGTAATCTCAATAAAATAGCATTCTGGAGCAATTTATCAAGCAGCAGATTGTGAATTTTGCTTTAGACTGATGTTAGTGGCTTTTTTCAATCAAATCTGAGGCATCCTCTTACCAGCCCTAAACTATATAAACATTTAGCTAAGACTTGATACAATCCTGAAAAGTCATACCAGTCATCAACCAACACAATCTCCCCATCTGATTGGACCTTCTTAGAAGCAAACAGGAGCAGCTGTAGGGGGGTCACTAAGGTCATGCCTTTGGCAGAGATGGCTCGAGTGCGGATCTGCAGATGGAGAAGGGAACGGTTTTGATTAGAGGTGCTAAGCAATTCAACATGCTAGGAATTAATAATTCAATAGACCAAAATGAAGCCTGTTAACAGAAACATTTAGAAAATGCCCTTTTCTTACCTTTTCTCCAAACACAAAGAAAGGAGATGGGTACTTCATGTCCTGGCTGCTAAAGGGGCAGTTAACAGATGACTTGTGGATAAGTGCGTTTCGCCCCTCAGTGGTGAGAATTTTCCTCTTTTCCTTATGATAGCAGACATTAGGGTACACACCAAAGGCCAGAAGAGAGATGACAACATCCAAATTGTTATCTGGTCCCGTGTTATTAAATACTTGTGTCATCAGACATTCTGCAGAAAAAAATGGGAGGGGAGGAGGGATGAGAAAGTTGGCTATTTCCCCATATATTTATGTTGTCATCCAAAGTATTCAAGAGACTTTGGACAATGTTCACTGATGTCATTTAGACAAGTTTCTTTATTGCCAGGCATTGAATTATAAGCTAATTTAAAATGAAGTCTTGAAAAAATAAATGCTTATTAATTTTTGAAAGTTTTTAAAAGTGTTAGGTCCTGTATTTTATCACCTATCATTAATTTAAAAGGCCTCTGCTCTTAGAGCACATGAAATAATATTTATAAGCTTTTAGCACAGCACCTGGCATCTAAAAGGCACTTAATAAATGCTTGTTCCCTTTCCTTCTCTCTTCAGATGTCAGTTGGCAAAATGATCCCTTCCATTCTCAGAACAAGAGCTAAGTTTGTACCATGAAAACCACAGCTGAAGAAACAAGTTGATCTGACTTTCAGAATAGATGATTCTGTACTGATTTCACCTATCTTAGACTTAATGAATATGATTAACCCTGATTCTGAAAAGCAATTATGAAAATTCAAGGCCAGGAAGTTAGCTAGTGCTTAAAAAGCTCCTTAGCATGACCTAATAAACCATCTTCTTAAAATCCAAAATATTTCCCATTTGCTTTGCCACCAATCAAATAAGATACCTTCTTTTCTATTAAATAATAACTCTCAGTAGATCTTTTGGAAAACTATTATCTTTTTAAAGGTCTCTTCAGAACAAGGCTCTTTTAAAACCAGATACAGAAAATACTGAGTGTCACAACATATGCAAACTATATTTTGGTTTATTAGATTAAAAATAAACAATTCAATGGCATTAAGAGAACTTTTTTTCAATCAAGACAAAGTATTTAGAGAGAAAAGAGCCTCAATCTCACTAGCCAGCAATCATCTTTCTTTCACTGAATAGCTCACAAGCACTTTGGATCTCACTTTTGAATTATTAGAATTATCTGAATTATTATTATTAGACTGTAAATTTCATGGGGGTGGAAAGGAGCCATTTTGTTTATTTTGTATCTTCCCCAGAAATCAGGACTGAATATAGTGAGATCATGGTAACTATTCAATGAAATGTTCATTCTGCAGAGTTAAGAGTATAAAAGCTCAGGTCCAACTCACTTTGGGGGTGAGGTGGGTGCTATTTTTTTTGGCAACATAAACTATTATAATACTGTGCTAATTCATGCCAGCTGAGAACTTGTCTGTATATCTGAAGTCATTTAAAATTTAATAGTAATAGTATTTCAATAAGTCTAAAACTTGGCAGAGGACAAGCCGATCACTTTTTCTTGGATCACTGCTAAAAAAATGAGTTAAATTTGTTTGCACTCAAGTTTCTGAGTATCATATCCAATGTTCCTCAGAAAAGGTAGTCACAGGTAAGAATATTGCAATTATTGCAGTGGTCTTTCAACGCTTACTTTCACTATGTCAGGGGAGCAGGACTGTGAACACTGGCACTGAGTTCAAAACAGTTCTGAGAAGCAACCAAGCCTGAAGGCACAGAGGGCCCTGTTAAGTCATACACATAATCACCCGATTATTTATCTTAGGAATTTATGAGTCTTAGTCTTACCTTCTGGAAACCCAGAATTAACCAGAATTTCTTTGAGCTGAACTTTTGCTTCCCAAGTCATTCTGAGTGTGGCCATATTGAGTCTTTTGTGTTCACAAAAGCGGATCTCTGCCTCTTCTCCACCCATTCTAAAAGGGGAAAAAAAGACTCAGTAGGATGTGAAAGTGGAACATTATTAAGTTCTCACAACATAAGTTTTAAGACACTCTTCTAAAACCCTTTGCATGCATGGTTCTCTCATTTGATGTCATTCAGAAACATACCTGGCATCGTCCCAGGCTTGGAACACTGACAAAAGGGCCACGTGATCTGAAAACCTATTTCCAGCAAAATTGCGGTGGACATAACCCAAGCGCTTGCCTTCACTGATAAAAGGCTCTGGGAAGCAAGTGGCAGCAGAAATGGTACACACGGCATCACCCACGCTAAAATGAAGCAGAGAGAGAATTGGTTGGGAGCCTTGTTGTCAGCAGCCATAACAGACCTAACAAAAATGGGTACATGGAAGCTCCCTTTTATCAGTGGCCACAATTTTTCCACATAACACTTAAAATTATTGTACTATCCCTCCCAAAACCCACTGTTGTCAAGCTCAAATAAGATAATGTAAGGCAATATGTAAAAGGCAATGAGATATTACTGAACATTACAGCTTTCCTTTTTCATTTCACCTCTTAAGCAAAATGGACCTACCATACCACTTCAACACAACCTCTTTTTGATACATATAATTTCTGAATGACATCTCTACACCTCATTTCCCTTCGGGCGGCACAATTCTGGGCCATCTTTCCCTTCTCCACCAGGCCTTAGGAAAACCTCATCAACCTACAATATCCCATCAGCCTTGGGACTACTCCACTTCATCACCACCCTCAGTGCCTCTGACTGGAGGGTGGAACTATGAATTAAAACCTTCCATTTAAGAAGGGAGCCTAGGTCAGATCATCTCATTTCTCAGCAGGCTGCATTACTCTGGGCTATCTCTGCCTTCTCTACCATGCCATCAGATGAATTAACCCTGTCCCCTCTTTTAACTTTTGTATACTGTCTTTTCCTATTAGAGTGTAAACTCCCACAGTGCCTGAAACATAGTAGGTATTTAACATTTACTGACAGATTAACTATTCTTCTGGAATATTTAGTATTCTTTTTTTTTCTTGGGGCAGCTACATTCTCTCTAACTCAAATAATTCAGCTCCAATTGCAATCATTCATTTTTCCCCACTTACTGAATATTTAAAAAAAAAACAAAACCCAAACCTATCAGTACAGCCCACTTATGAATATGATATAGCTTTATTTGCCCTTATAAGCCATGTAACTGTGTCCAATTATTCTTCCTCACCACCCCCTTACCCCCTTCCAAGGCATCCTCTAACCTATTTTCCATTTAATTAACAGTGACAGAATAGAAATACTTACTAGAAAATACAACCCATTATCATCATCTTGCCAAGGCGGGGCTCAATTGGGAGTTTAGCCAGGATCCTTCCAAGAGGTGTCAACTCATCATTAGCATCCAGTGCATCAAGCTCTGTAGGGAAGATATTTTTGTCAGCAGGAATAAAATGAGTAAACTTTAATGAAGCAAGACACAAATTCTGCTATGCAGAACAAAAAGCTAGGTTAGTATTTTCTAGAAAAACAAGTTAAAATTTCTTCATTCATCAACCTATTAGATACTTACCAAACAGAATGAATACTTTATTAAACTTTTATGCAAGTAGTCCATATTCTAGTACTTGTTCTCCAAAGTGAAATTCCTTTACTATACTTGATGCATGCTTAATTTTTGACATTATAGTACTTACAACTATTCATACCAAACACAGGCCAGAATGGCTTAGGACTGTTGGTTCTACAGAGTAATGAGTGCCCTGCAAACTTTTACCATTAATACTTTCCAAAGTTACTGGCTAACATGAAACGACCAACTAACAAGAATAGATACCGATACCTCTGAGGGTGTGCTCGGCTTCAATCACAGCATCCAAAGGCGGCGGTTCAATTGCTTTGGCCAAGAACTGACCGATTCCTCCTAAACGAAGCAGTTTGATACTCAAAGCAATTTCATGCAGTGGTGTTCGGAACATTTCAGGGGTCATGTGAGTTTCAAGTCTAGGAGAAATACAAAAATTAACCATTAACTTTACATCTATATGTGGTCAACACCTTGGGAGAAAGGGCCCTCTTACAACTTTAAAATTAGCCACCTTCTCTTCACCCCTTAACTGGCATTTTATTGTTATCCTCTAGGGCGATGGGTTCGTCATGTGTGTTACAGTCACCACCCCAAACAACTAAAATGATTCACTGGCTTTTCCAGTAAAAGTTCTCATTCAAGAATCATCAGAGCTTCAGGTCAACTCCTAACGCCTTTAATTACAACAGCAGAAAGCTACATGTAAGAGATGTAGAAGCAGTGAGGTTTATTTTCAAGCTTTGCTCGGTGAAATATGATGGGGTTCCAGAGACATCCTTGGGGTTAAAAGAATTATATAAATACCAAACCTTCTGAACTATATTGACATCTCCAGTTTCTACTCCCACAGTCTTAAATTATTAGAAAGATACTCTTAAAAAAAAATAGCTGGAAAGGTGATTTTCAAAACCGCTAAACAACTGCTGACATTTTAAGTAAACTCATTCTGATAAGTAACTGAAAATCCTAAATTATCTTAAAATCTCATATGTTTTATCATTATGTTTACTATATACTAGAAAACCTGCAATTCCTTGTCATGCTTTAACAGACTTTTATGAGTTGCTGTAACTAAAAAAAAATAAATCACTGAATGATCAACCTTCTGGTAAAGTTAGGCTGATCAAAAGATAAGAGATAAGCACAAAATCTTTAATCAAACCCTTACTCAAATGATTTTTGAACCTGGTAAGAGCTGTCAGAGCCTGTGTTCTGCTGGTATGGGCTTTAAGAAACTAGAGTCACTGTCATTTGAAAACAAGAAATAAGAAAAGTTCCATTTCCCCCCCCAGGTCAAATGCAGCAAGTCTACCTCATATCTGATGTTCAAATATTCAAAGATGGTATTTCCAACTGACAGGTAATCAAAATTTCCCTGGAAAAGCAGCACTACAATTTAGAGTTATACTCCCCAAAATCACTAAACCGAATGACCTTTTCCTCAGTGGAAGTGCTAGTAGGACCATACCCTAAGAAAATTAAAAAAAAAAAAAAAGCTCCATATGTAAGAAATACTTATATTCTTTTCATTGTATAAGACAGAACTAAAAAAAGTAGATGTCCACTAATTAGGAAATGCCTACATAAAGTGGTAGATAAATATAATGAATGAAGTATTACAATGCTTTAAGAAATGATAAATGAAGTTAATACAAAGTAAAGCAAGCCAGAACTAGGAAGACAATATACATAATGCCTATAATTTAAGTGGAAAGTACAACAGCAAAACAATCAGAATTGTAGCTAGGTGGTACAATGGATAGAGTGCAAGGCCTGGAGTCAGGAACACCTGAGTTCAAATCCAGCCTCAGACACTAGTCTGTGACCCTAACTTAATATGTTTATCTCAGTTTCCTTACCTCCCAAGGAGGTAACAAATTTGAGGAGCAAATAAGATATCTGTAAAGTGCTTAGCACAGTGCCTGGCACATAGTAAGCACATGTGAATGTTAAGTATTACAGAGTATTAATTGAATGATACAAAATATAGCTAAGCTTGTCCCTAAAGAAAACAAAGAGACCTCCCCTGCTCCTTTGCAGAGATGGAGATCCACAGGTGTAAAACACTCCATATTACGTCAGATTTTTAAAATTTTGCTGAATTATGTCTTTTTTTTTTTTTTTAATTATCACAATTTGTATCTTTTGGAATAAGGGAAGAGAAAAAAGGATTACAGCAGGAAACATAGGTGACAAAAACAAAAGACATAAATGTTTATTTTTAACAAGAAAATGAGGTGCTGCCAAATTTTAATGAAGTCTAATCCCAAGAGTTATCAGAATGCATCTCCCTCTCTTTGTGGGAGACTATGGATGTGTAACTACACAAAATGTTAGACCTGGGTGATGTACAGGTAAGATTTGCTGAATCATTTCTTTTTTTTTATTCTTTAGTATAAGGAATAGCACTCGAAGGGTTGGTTAGAATGTTATATTAGGAAATGTAGGTGGTGTAAAAATAAGCTATCAATTAATTTTAAAATACTAAAATACCCTATTAAATCAGTAGCTGCTATCATAGAACTTGTGGATCCTGATTTTTTAAAAAACCTCACATTTGTACAGCAGTTTAGTTTACAACATACTTTTATATAACTCATGTAAGTTTTATTGTGAAAAACACTTTTTAATCGTCTCACTTGTTATCATTCAATATGTCAGATGTTCCTTTTCAATTTTTTAGTATCTTACAACACATTCTTAATGAAGTGCTTTCAATATCTCACAGAAACATTAAATTTTCAGGTATTAAAATAAACTGGAATTCTCCTAAATACATATAACATATGGCTTTACCTATCATAACGAGCTCTGCTACAGAGATGAAAACAGAAGCCAGGTCGAACACGACCAGCTCGTCCCTTCCGTTGTTCAAGATTTGTTCTGGATGCCCATACTGTAGCATAGTTGGTCATATTGTTGTGTGCAGTGAACAGTTTCACTTTTTGCCTAAAGATGAGAAATAACCGGAAGTTGGAAACACTAGTTTTCAAAACATTACCACATTATTTATTTGTGGTTAAGTCATTCAAGGTGATGTCCAAATAACCACAATTATACAGGATGCCATTATTTATAATTCCTTAACTAATCCAAGAGAGAATTAGAAATTAACCCTTTATTTCTCCAGTACCCTTTAACACCAAACCCCATTTCCTATAGATCTATAGGCTAAAGCCATTAGAAACAAACGCTTTTACATACCCACTATAACATACTGCTCAGAGACAAATTAGGAATCATAATGGGAAATCTGCCTGTCAAAGACTTAGGATCCTACAGTGGCAATACAGCTAAGACCTGTATGATAAACTAAATGGAAGATTATTGACCTGTGTTCTAGACATATAAATTTGTCTTCAGGACAAAAGCAATACATTAGGAACTCACTTGCAGGAGTCAACAACATAAACAACATCATTAATGGTAATGCTGGTCTCAGCAATATTTGTGGACAAAATAACCTGTGAAGGAAAAGAGTTAAATGGATTTTGATTCAATAAACATTAAGAACCTACCAAGAGCACATTATTTTGTTAGATACTTGGGTAAGAGTCTTGAAAAGAGGCAATATTCTATCAGAATAAACAACAAATAATGAAATATAAAACAAGATTCAGCGTGATAGAGAAAATAAATTCAAAGCATTCTAGGATACGCAGTTGTGGGAAATAAGAGAAAGCTTTGGAGAAAAAAATAGCATCTGATCTGAGCCTCAAGGAAAAGAATTCTGAAAAAGATGAGGAAGTACATTCCAGACATAGAGGAAAGTCTTAAAAAAAAAAAACACATGAAAGCTGAAAATATTAATTTGAATTTGGGAAACAAGTAATAGTTTGAAAATAATAAACATTTATAAAATGCTTTAATATTTGCAAGGTGCTTTAAAATACTCCATTTTATCCTTCACATAGCCATCAAAATAGTCTTATTAGGCAATATTACATAGCAACAAAATTCAGGGATGGATAATGTAATAAAAATAATACTAATACCTAGTAAGACTATTTGTGAAGAATAAATTAGCGAAGACAGCTGAAAGGGGACCACAACAAAAGTTTGTAAAAGATGAAGAGCCTAAAGTATATAATTACTTTTATTATTATATTTATTATAAACTGTATGCCGTCAATTTTATTATTCGATTTCTACCTTGGTTACTCCAGTTGGTACTGGATCAAATACTTTTCGCTGTTCTTCTCTAGGAATCTGAGAATGCAGGGGCAGAATCCGATACCGGTGGCTTCCTAAAACATAAATAGGAGACACTGAATCGAAACCAAGAATTTGATTTAAATTTCCTCTCCTACTACCTGCATTTTCATACACGCTGAACTTCAGTCTACAATTCCAACTCCGTCTTTTCCACATTCAGTTCCCAATGACTTTCCCTACACTGTCTGAAACACAGGCACACACATACTTCTCTACTGTGAGACAAGTGAAAAATTAAGACAGCCATACCAAAATGGGGATTCATTTCTAAATGCTTCTGCATAGTATATATCAAGTTCCAGCCAGGAAGGAAAACCAGCACTGCTCCAGGAACATTAAGTGTCTCAATGTACTTCAGAAGTGCCTCAATAAGTTCAAATGGAGTTTCCTTCTCATTCATCTGCGCCATGCAACGCTTTGTTTCTGGACCATATTCATCACTGCAGATTAGGTTACAGTTTGCCTGAAAGATATGTTTTTTTTTCCCAAAATTATAATTTATCAATACAGCACTGTCCTTTTCCTAGAATTAGCAGTTATCAAAATGATGGGGCAACATAATCTAACTAGTAAATTATGCCCATCTGACTATAGCCATTACTTTTTTTCCCCTTCAATTTTAAGACTCATTTTTGAGGACTCTTAGATCTTTTTGATCTTTCAAACCTAAGCTAGTTTGAAGGACAATGATTCATACCAGGGGTGGGGAACCTGGGGCCTCAAGACCACATGTGGCCATCACAGAACAAATGCCCTTAATAAAGGATTTGTTCTGTAAAACTTGGACTCAGTTAAAAGGCCACACATGAGGATCTTGAGGGCCACATGTGGCCTTGAGGCCCCAGGTTTCCCACCCCTGATTTAAACACTTCCTGTGAGAGTGAGGAATATTTATAATCAGTTCTCTTTACCTGGTGGTTGATTCTGATTTTTCTAGAATGTCACACAAAAATTCTTTTAGATTCTGAAATGTCTAACTATGACTTCCTTCTACCAAGTGAAATATATTCCCCTTTGAGGCTTTTTTCACGGAATCATTTCTTTCTCTAATGTTTATAATTATGAACTACTAGCTATTGTCTTACATCCTTTCTTTTTTGTCTACAATCAGAATTTCCTCCTAAGTGTTTGTAGTCCAGCTACAGACTTCATTATCATCCAATTAAAACTTGTTCCTCCAAAGTTACCCCTTATTAAATAAAATGACTTCTTCTGGATTTTCATCCTATTTGACCTGTCTGCATCCTTTGACACTGTCAATTATTTTCTTCTCTTCAGATTTTCCTGACACTGCTCTACCTTGGTTTGCTTCCTACTTGTCTGACCATTCTTTCTCAATTTCCTAGGATGGCTATTCATCTAGACCATGCATGACTATTAGTTGCAGATGTACCCCAAGTCTCTGGTCCTAATTCTACTTTTTTCTCTATACTGTTTCCCTTTGTGATCTCATTTGTTACCTTGAGTTCAATTATCTCTATGGAGATGATTCTCAGATTTTATTCAGTCCTAACCTTTCATGACCTCCAGTCTTTCATCTCCAACTGACTATTCAACATCTTGAACAGGATTTCCTATAGATATTTTATACTTAACATTTCCAAAACTGAACTCATTATCTTTTACCCTAAAGTATCCTTCTTCCAAATTTCCCCATTACTATTTAACGAACTACCATCCTCTCAAGACAGCCAGGCACAAAACCTAGGAAAGACCCTCAACTTCCCACTCATATCCTAAATATCCACTTTGTTGCCAGGTTCTGTCAGTTTATTTGTAACATCTTTCCTCTTCTCTCTACCCACAGAGATACCACCCTAGAGTAGGTCCTTATTACCTCACCCGTAGATTACTGCATAATCTTCTGCTCTCCTTTCCTTAAGTATCTCCCCATTCTAGTCCATCACGTACTCAGCAGCCAAGGTGAACTTTAAGTAACTCTGCTATCCCCCTAAACTTCAGTGGCTTTCTATTTGCTCCAAGATTAATTATAAAATCCTATTTAAGGAAAAATATTTATAACAGCTCTTTTTGTGGTGGCAAAAATCGAAGGGATGCTCATCAGCTGGGGAATGGCTGAACAAGCTGTGGTATATCATTGTGATGGAGTACTACTGTGCTATAAGAAATGACCACGGGTAGTTTCAGTAAAACATGTTAAGACTTAATATGAACTGATGCAAAATTAAATAAGAAGAACTGACGGATCATTGTGCACAGTAACAGCAATGTTGTAATGAAGACCTAGCTATTCTGATCAGTGATCCAAGACAATTCCAAAGGATTCATGATGAAAAAATGCCATCTACTTCCAAAAAGAGAACTAACTTGGAATGTAAACTGAAATATAATTTTCTCACTTTATTTTTCTTGCTATTTTTTTTCCTTGGGGGGGGGGGGGGTGGGGAAGATTTGGCTAATATGGAACTATGTTTTGCACGATTTCAACAAGTTATCATTGATACCGTATTGTTTGCCTTCTCATTGGGTGGGGTAAGGGTAGGAGAGAATCTGGAACTCAAAATTTAAATACAGTGTGATAAATAAATAATAAACTGAAAGAAAAAAAATCCTATTTAGCTTTTACAGACCCTTGCAACCTGGTCCTTTGCTAACTCTTTGGTTTTCTGACACTTAATGTCCCCCTCCCCACCACAGTGATCCACTGATGTTGAGTTCTGTGCTGCTCTGAAAACAGGACACTCCATCTCCCAATTACCTGTATTTTTTCAGTGGCTGTCCCCCATGAAATTTTCTCTCACCACACCTCTATTTCCTGACTTCCTTCAAATTTCAGCTGAAATCCAATCTTCTACAAGAAGCGTTTCCTGACACACTTCAATGTTAATATCTTTCTTCAGAGATTATCTCTAATTTACCCTATCTTGTTTGTACTTAGTTGTTTGCATGTTGTTTTTCCCACTAGACTGTAATTCCCCTGAGGGAAAGGAGTACCTGTTTTATTTTCCCCAATCCCCAACACTTAGCACAGTGCCTGGCATGTAGTAGATACTCAATAAATGTTTAATGATGATTGAAAAAGTATCTAATTTCTTGATCAAGGTTATTTTGATAAAGTAAAGCTTACAGCACATTACAAATAGGAATCACTGGTCCAGCCTTTCCGGAAATCTGCTTGGAACTTTGAAACAAAGTTACTAAACTATACATACATACCTTTCCTTTTCACCAATGATACCTCTAGGTTTACATACCAAAAAAAAAAGAGGAAAAGAACTTTTATGTGCAAAAACATTTATGGTAGCTCTTTTTGTAGTGACATAAAGCTATAAACGAAGGGAGTCAGTGCTCCACTAATTGGGAAATGACTGAAAAAAATTATGGTATATAAATACTGAAGGTAGTTTCAGAGAAACGTAAGAATTGTATGAACTGATGAGATAAGTGAGTAGAAGAACCAGGAAAACAACTCTGAAAGATGCTGAGATTCTAACAGACAAAAAATTATTTTAATTGATCTGTTACACAGGTTTTTCTTTTTTTTGGAGAGAAGATTTTAACTGAAAAAAATACTGTGTATGGGTATGTATGAAGCCTAAAGAGAATCACAAAAATCCACTTACATCATCATCATCACCACCATCATCATCTTTGTCCTTTTTCTTCTTGTCCTTTGGTGGAGGAACGAACTGGGTCATCTGAATACAGTCTTCCAAAAAATACTCTAAAGGAACAAACAGTTACAGTGTAAAATGACCAATCAACTTTTCAAAATGAAGCTGGTCTGAAGGAATAGGTGAGCAATGTTCATATTCAATGGTCCTTCAATATCCTGCAGTCTTACTCTATGTTCCTAAGTCCAATAAATTGGTTCAATGTCAGACAATTTAATGGTAACTTCTCGATTTTCATCTCCCTGGGCATGGTTTTTTTTTTTTTTGGTGACCCTACTGACTATTCTAAGTAAATAAGGAGAAATCTTAATGCACTTCTAAGCTGCTAAAGCTTACAACTTCACTAAGATTTCTAGGATACCCTGTTGTGTTATGCAGTAAGGTCTGTAACGCCCAACCCCCACCAGCAATGACTTTCAATTAACACCTATGCCTTTCACTCATTGGAAAACACTCAAGAGATACCAAATCATTTACTAAAGAAATCCTTTTCAGTTATTTATGAGTTGCCTTTGCCAATCTAGCGGGAAATAATTCTGAACAGCAATCCTTATCGTCTCAGTTGGTCAAATATTCTGAGACTTTCCTAATTGCCAGGTATCTCAGAATTTGGTATTGATGAATGATTCCCAAATATACTTATCTAGCCCTAATCTGTCTCCTGACTTCCAGTCTTGAATCTCTGCTTATTTATTGGACATTTTCATACTGAATGTCCCATAGTCTCAATATGTTCAAAACTGTACTCATTATCTTTTCCCCCAGCCCTTCCCATTTCCTGAATGTACTAGCTTTGTAGACAGCACCAACCTCTCAGTCACCCAAGTTCAAAACCAAGGGATGTCATTCTCAATGCCTCACTCTCTCTCACCCCTCTTCCACCAAGTCCTGTTGATTCTACCTTCACCTTCCTAACATCTCTCACACCCAAGAATCTTCTGGATGCAGTCAGCTCCAAGGGGCTTCAAGAACTAACTTTAAATTTTCAGTGAGAGCATCTGCACCTTAGAAATTGCCAAATGTGAAAAATCAGGGCTAGATTTATTATTTTGTTGACTGTCTAAACTTATGACAGTAATGAAAATTAAACTTTAAAGTGTGTTGTGCACATTTGCCCATGGAGGGCTAATTGTTAAGCATTTACCAGCACATTTCAGCTCCTACAAGCCCTTGTCTCCTCTGATCATGCCTCCACTATGGTACAGATCTCTTATCACCTCATGCCTAGACCACTGTAATAGGCTTATGATTGGTCTGTCTCTTCTTACACTGTTTCCTCCAACTACACTATGACACAGGCTTCCATGTTGTAGCTCACAAAAAGACACTATCTTCTCAACTGCATTTTTACTACTTCCCATTCTCAGAATTCTCTCAGATCTCCTGCCCTCTAACTTCCTAAAATTCCACGTTGTATGAGGCCTTGTAATGCCGTTTAAATGTAAGGGCCATTATGTTTATCATGTTCAATATCCCATACATATCTTTCCAGCAGGCAATAAATATTTTTTAAGTGCTTGCTATGTGTCAGGCACTATTCTAAGGGACAGGGATACCAAAAGGGGCAAGAGATAGTCTTTGCCCTCAAAGAACACATAATCTGATAGAGGAAACAACAAACAAATATTACAAACAAGCTATATAAAACAGGGGAAATGGGAGATAAGGAGGGATGGCACTAGAATTATCTTTTTTTACAGAGCTGTCTTTCCCACAGACTGCAAGCTCTTTGATAGCAGGGAACAGACTATCTGAAAAAAAGCTTTCTTTGTATTGCCAGCACAATACGAGACACAGAGTAAGTACTTCATAAAAACTTGTTAACCAAAAGCATTCTCCTCTTTTTTTAATTCTTTCTATAAAATCATTGGTTCTGAGGAAGAAGGTGTATACTAGGAATGAAGGGGATATTAAAAACACAAGATTTTTAAAAGACCTTTGTTCAGAGTTATCTATGTGATTTACAGTGCAGTATAACCTAAATTTTCTCAACAAGTTGCAGAATTCAAATTCCCATATGCCTACAAAGCTAACCAATACATTCTTCTTTGTAACTTTTAATCTTTGGCTTCTCAGATTAACTCTAATCTTTTAAAACCACCATAGTTTAAGATTTCATTACTTCACATTTTCCCCACTCATTGTCTCCTAGATAGTGTAGTAGAAAGAATATTGGACTGTGTAGCTGTGTAGCTAGAAGACCTGGGTTAAAAATCTCTAACCACTACGTGAGCAGAGGCTTTTCACCTATGCCTCTAAACAACAGAAAAGAAAAATACTCAAGGGTCCTTCATTACACTATTTATCTCACAAGGTTGTGAAGGGGTGAGAAAATGTTTTTGTAATCTTTAAAATGAAATTTTATGATCAGTGTAACATTAACTCTACTATATGAATTAAATGACTGCTTCCAAGCAGTGGTTTGAAAAACACTTGAACCTAAAAAGACTTTGCCACTTTGCCTCATTCCTTCACTGTGTTCTCTATTTACGTATTTTGTTGTTCAGTTCTGTACAACTCTTTGTGACCACATTTGGGGTATTCTTGGCATACATATTGGAGTGGTTTGCCATTTCCTTCTCTAGCTCATTTTACAGATAAGGAACTCAGTTGAACAGGATTAAGTGACTTGCCCAGGGTCACACAGCTATTACGTGTCTGAGGCTGGATTTGAACTCAAGAAAAGGAATCTTCCTGATTCCAAGCCTGGTACTTTATGTATCCTGCCACCTACCTGCCCATCTACTTACATATGCTGGACATTAATTTGCAATTGATAATGCTGCTCTACAAATAGAAAGCTCTAGTTTTTGTAAGACATAAGGAATTTGTTGAGACTATTAATCTAATCCCTTCTTTTTATGGATGAAGAAACTGAAACTTTAAGTTAGTCAACTTGCTCAAAGTGACAAATAAATCAGGCAGAGCCAGGACTAAGCCCTAGGTCTCATGAATCTTAAGCCACTGGTTCTTAGACATTAGACCACACATGGTCCTCAGTAATTTCACAAGTCAAAATTCTGCTACCATAACACGTATTTCAGAAATATTGCTCTGTAACTGCTAAGGTAATTAACCTTTAACACTGTTATCTTGAATGTTTACCAGTATAAGAGCAACTAGGTGGCACAGTGGATAGAGAGTCAGGCCTGGAATCAAGAAGACTTCTCTTCCTGAGTTCAACTCTGGCCTCAGATACTTCCTAGCTGTGCGATCTTGGGCAAGCCACTTAACCCAAGCCTCATTTTCTCATCTGTAAAAAGAGCTGTAGAAGGAAATGGCAAACCACTCCAGTATCTTTGCCAAGAAAACTCTAAATAGGGTCACAGAGTTGGACAAGACTGAAAAACAAAAATTTATTGGTATCATTATATAATGAAGAGGTTTAAAAAATACTATACACACCCACCCACACCCACACCACTGTATTTTCAATTTAGTAGCTAACCTTGAACTGGGTAAGTTCTTCCAAAGACTTCGATGATAGGACAATTGAAGAAATATTCACAGAACATGCTGGTGTCAATGGTAGCAGACATGAGGACAATGCGTACTTCAGGATAAGCCTGTACTACATCCCTTAATACCACCAAAAGAAAGTCAGTCTGCAGAAAAGGGGGGAGAGAAATGGGAGAAAAAGAACATATCAGTAATTTTAACATCAAAATATATTTAGCTAGGCTACTCTTCTCACTTAAGTCTCTTAGTATTCCTATCACTGAATATATATATTATTTTTTGAAAAAAGTTACAAGATGTCAAAATCAATTAAGAACAATTTTTTGGTGTTTTGCAGGACTGACTTGTAACAAAGCAATGTAGCAACATACTTCACTTCTGGCCACAGTATTTTCAAAGCTGGCCAATTCTGTTGCAATGTGATATCGTGAATAGGATGTCATAATGAATGTATTATTTCATGTCTCCATAAAAATGAGCAGATTTGGAAGAATATCAAAATGAGAGGCAAGTCAAACAAATACGTAAGTCAGGACACACCCAATATGTTTATGGAGATAAATGTTAAGAATTTTTGTCCGGCACAAAATTTTTGTAAGATATTTATAACGGCAGCCATCAAATTGTTGAGGTCAAAGAAAACACTGAAATGCTCAGCCCTTCACTTTTAAGACTTCTTTCAAAATGTCTGCCTTTAAAAACATTTTGAGAAAGGTTAAGAATTTCTGAATTAAGTAAATAGATATTGTGAGGTGAAGAACATAATTCTGAAAGAATGATGATGAAGAAAAATTATATAAAAACTATGTCAAATATTTCATGTGGACAGGGATAGCTTAGATTTGAGATGTCTTAAGACTCCAAGGAAAACAGAAAAAAAAAACCCACTATCACTATTGGTTTTTCTATGTAATCTATCAGGCTTATGCAAAAACTCTGAAATAGATGAGCGACCCTGTGCCTTATTATAACTATAACAATGCTTTCCTAGTCATACTGTGAAAATTTTTGCTAAATATGGTATTTACCACAGAGGTAGAAAGGTAGTGTATGGTGTAATGGGATTAAGAATCATAAAGATCTGGGTTCAAATCCCTCTTCTGACATATAATAGCTGGGTGACGCCAGGCAGTTCACGCAACCTCTCTGTGCCTCAAAGAAATCACTAGGATTTTTATACTAAGCCAGAGAGGAATTGTAATATGTCAGGAGTTCCTATTCCGGATAAAATCGTGGATCCTCTGTGTATGGTTGTAATCTGTTTGATGATTACACTTAATAATGACACTCTCAAAATCAAGCCCATCCTCGAGAACATTTGTCAAAAGAATATGAACTGAACTATTAGTGAACTATATTTAGAGAGAACAGATGAACTGAATATGAAGAAAGAGACATTTTAAAACATGTTCAATTTGGGAATTTGTATATTTGTTACAAGAGTTTTTCTTTGTTCCCTTAATATTAGTGAGGAAGGGAAGGAGAAAACATTAATTTTTGTTATAGAAATAAAATTTAATTAGAACGAAAGGACAGGCTTTGCAGACAAAAGTCTAAAAATATTCTAATAATGCATTTGGAACTATATAGTTTCCAAAGGACACTATTTTGAAAGAGACCATCATCAAAAGGTTTTTTTTAAATCAGCTTATACTTTATGCACCTTTAGAAAATGAGGAAATTTCTACCACAGCTCCTCCATTTACTCAAGCGTCTTGTTTTCTTTGATAAAGTTAGGGATGAGGGAAAAGACTCAAAGTTACTTACATTAATGTCTCTTTCGTGAATTTCATCTACAATTACATGACTGATTCCACGAATGCCTGCTTCTAATTTCCTCAGTAGTACACCTCAAAATAAAAATCAGAATAAATTAAACTGAAATGTCATTGGTTGGTGTTTAAAAGCATACCAACTTTAGATGAATCACATGTTCAACCCCTGCCCCCAAGACACAGCCTAGCTGAGTGACACCAGGCAAGTCACTTAACCTGAATAGTTCAGTTTCCTTAAGTTTAAAATGGGAATATCACCTGACTGACAGGGTTGTTTTGAGGCTCAAATAAAATAACGTGCAGTGCTTTGCAAACCTTAAAGTACTATAAAAATGCTAACTATTATTAGATAACATTAACAACATTTAAGGAAAATTAAATGTGTAATAGTAGTTCCCAATCCTGTGTCTGAACCAATATTATGAACACATAAATGGGCAAAAAGCACAGAAATTCAACTGACAAGAAAATATAAACTGGAAAAATCAAAGTCTAAATGAAAACTTGTATTAAAAAGTACTAGGATGCCCCAATTTAGTCAGTTTCAATTTTTATTTTCTCTAAGAAAGAATTAATAGGTTTATTATATGTCCTACTAGTAAAAAAATCATTTAACAGAATGAGAGCTGGGAACCACCTCAGAGGTCAGTCAACTTATAAGCTAAAAAAAGGATGCCTTCTACAACATACCTGATAAGTGGCGATCCAACAAAGGCTTTGCAAAAAGACCCCAAGTTACTCATTACCTCAAGTCAGCCCATCCCAATGTTAGCTCAAAATGACAGCAAGTTATTTGAATGAATAATACATTCTTTATTCCCAGATGAATTCCAAACCAGCGGTACCGACACTACTATTTCCAACATCTTTTGGTATTGTAAAGTATAAAATTTTGTAGAGTCAGAAACCTTGGGTTTAACCCAGCTGTCACTTATTCCCTCCGTTGTGTGACCTTAGACAAGCAGCACAACACCTCTGAGCCCCAGCTTTCTCATCAAGTGAAGGAACGATATGAGATAGGTAGTACATGCCTGTAATTCCTGCTACCAGAAAGGGCTGAGGTTACAGATCAACTTGGGCTAGGAAATGACCAGTTAGGGTCACACCAAGTCTGGCACCCATGCAGTGAGCCCTGTGGGGAGGGGTGAAGGAGTACACCACCAGGCTGCCCAAGGACAGGTTAACAGGTCCCAGTCAATAAGAAATAGAACAGGACAAAGATTCAAGAAAGGCTACTGAACGTGCAGCCTGTGAGATCCAATCATCAAGTCTCAAAAAAAAAAAAGTGAGGGGGATGGACTAGATGATGTCTAAGGCTCCTTTCATCTCCAACTTATTATTCTATGACATTGTTCTCCATATCTCCTGGGCACACACTACAATTTAACTATCAGACAATGGCAAGACAAAGCTAAAGATTCCAAAGAGTTGTTACAGACCTACGGTACAGAACATAATACTGGCATGAGGCCGGGGAAGCACAGACTCAAATCGTACACTGTAGCCACAGCTCTTCCCAGGTTCTTCTCCTCTCTCATAAGAAACTCGTTCTGCCACAGAAACAGCACTGATTCTCCTGGGCTGAAGAAAGAAAAAGCAAAATAAAAATTAACTTTATTTAATCACTTTGCTTCAACTGCTAAGTATTTCAGAACTATTAAAAATTTGCTGCAGGAAATATTAAGGAAAATGAGATACAGGACAAGAGAAAAACCCCTTTGATGTACACATTTTTTTAAATGCAAAAATCATCTAGCATTAATCAAAGCACCATGCTTCATGTTACAAAGGATTCTTTTCCATGAGAAATCCCAGTGAATATGCCAAACAAATAGTCCTTGATAAGCCATGACATTTTACCGTTAAATTTATAAACGAGGGAACAAATATGAAATGCAGAAATTGAGAACTGAGGTTTATGGAATTTTTGAGTGGCCCCAGTGTGGTCCAACATAAATTAAGAAAAGGACAATCAGGATATGTGACTCCCTCAAACCAAAGGTATGGTTCATACTATAGAAGGATATTATGGCAAGACCTTTTCTGATATTGATAATTCCTGCCTTACTAAGAACACTGATCTTTTAAATAATTTCTCTGAGATATCTGAAGTCAGGATGACAAAGTAGTATTCTCTCTGGTAGAATTTGTCCAATTGCGCCTGACCTAGAAGGATCAAGTCTTCCTAGTTAAGTTTTCCAGATATAATGCCAAAAAAAAAGAGATAAATGAAGTATTTAAAAATAAGCTCAGAAGAAAAATTCAGAGGGGATGGCTAGCTTTAGGGCTTTATAAAAAAGTTGTATACAATAGAGATTTGTGGTTTAATACACATATCTTTTTTGTTTGTGCATAGAAATGCTCACATTGGTGTTTGTCAAACTCAGAAAAAAGTTTTCCCCCTAAAGACCTACATGTCTCATTTGACTTTCAACTACTTAAGTCAAACATATTACAGCTTTTCCAAAAACTAATGCTGCAGTAATAATTTCACTGTACTTACACTACTTTAAATGACATCAGGAATCATTTCTTGTTGATATGTATTAGGAGGGACAGCAGGAATTTGAGCTAGTTAGAGTGACCAGGATGGTGAAGTGTCTGGATATCATATCACACGAGTAATGGATGAAAGTACTTAGTAATGTTTGTTCTGGAGAAAAGGTGGGTAGTATTTTTGTGCAATCCTCAAATACCTATTTATTTTATAGCTCCAGGGATCAAAAACAGAATCAGTGGATGAAATACACAAATTCCAACTGAATGTCAAGACAGAACTGCCCCAAACTGGAATGGGTTACCTCATCACTGGAAGTGCCCAAAAAGGGTGAGTGATCCCTAGTTAGCATTCTTTTTCCTCAAGTTTCACGTTTTTGTTTAAATTTTGTTTGTTCAAACATAAAACAAACTTGGGGAAAGGGACTACTGCTTTAATTGTCTTTGTGTATTGAGTATTTTTTAACTGGAAAGAAATAAGAGTCCCTCAAGGGCCAACTTAGATGCCTTTCTTGATGAGGCATTTTCTATTTCACCTTGCCTCATCATTTCTTATAGTCTGGGGATCTCTCTCCTTTGGCTTTGGACTTATCTATACCTCCCTTATATCATTTACTTGTAATACAATGGTTACCTTTGGTAACCATTAGAATATATAAATATGTTGAGCAAGACTTAGTTATTTATCCCTGTACTCCCAGTTACTAACTCAATGTCCTGAAAAGAAGTCACTTTTAGAATTCATAGGACATTCAATCAAATCTAACAACATACTCTGAAATGGTTAGTAGTAATACTAATATGAAAGCAATTAACAAGACAATGAAGCACGCTGCAAGAGGCTCAGCATTTAAAGTTGCGTGTAATGGGGACAAGTAAAAAAAGAATTATCTCCCTCCCTTAGTTGAGGATTGGTTTCAACAAACTGAAGTGTTTTTAATCCTAAAAGGATTTTCTATATTCAGATAGGATCCAAGGCCCACATGCAAAAAGTGAGTCCATTTCTGCATATAGGTTTTCATACATTTAAAGATAAGCAAACATGAAAGACTCTGCCCGGAACCCTAATTAGATTTTAATACTGAGACACGCCACTTGGCTTACCTTACCTGAGTCACTACTATGTTACACTCCGCTGCACGGTTGTTTTGAATGCATTCATCCAGAATATACTGAGGAACCTGGGTAGTTTTGCCACATCCAGTGGCACCACGAATAATGACAACTGAATTTTGATGGATTGCCCTCAAGATTTCATTCTCAAACTTCTTAACAGGCAGCATCTCCCTCTCCTGCAGGATCTAAAGAGGAAAAGACGAGGTAGGCTGAATAATCTTTTACCCTTGGTTTTAAATCAACACATGGACTGGTACAACTCCCATCCTCTCTTAATGGCTGGTACCCAAAACAAACTAGAGCATTTAATCAATGGAATGACAGATCATGTAATTTCACTAATAAAAAACTCTTTCTATATTGCTGAAGAAACACCTTATCACCTAATCCTGTTGGTTAAATTCCCAGAAAAGGGAAGAATCCCAAAGTTAGAATGCAGTAATTTCCCAGGATGCTCTATAATAAAGAGCAAAGCACACTACTTTGTACGGATGTTTACGGAAATTCTAAAGCCCAAATCACCACATTATCTAAACACATTTGGAGACTTACTGCCTGTAACTCATGATCCTGTTCTAGCTGGTACATGAGTTCATTCTTCAGGTCCATGCTTATTTGCTCAGGAGTGGCCTGGATAATACAATAAAGAAACTGGTCACAAATGGCAATAACTTCACTAGAAGGCTTTACAAAAATAAATAAATAATGAAAATAAAAATTTAGATTTAATTTCCAATGAAACACTCAGCCTTCAATAGTTTCTTTTCTAAAATCCTACTGTACTCACATAAGCCAAAGGGCCTTCATCGATGTTGCTACTAGTCCATGGATTCCAGTTAGACTGAGGAGGTGACCAGGGAACAACTCCAACTTGGTTCTGTCGCTGTGCTGGTTCAAAGGTAGCTAGTTTGCCAATATTGAGTATGACTGGATAATTAGGATCTTCAGGCTATGGGTTCAGAAATAAAAATCATCATGTGCTTATGGTGGTTCACCTGATGAAATGTCTTGCATTAAAGTAAAACACAAAGAACTCATACTTACTGGGGGCTGGATTTCTAGGCACAACTCCTGAACGACATTTTGCAGCTGATGTTCTAAGTCGTGAGATAGGTGAACTGTGTAAGGTTCCACCTGTGAAAATGCATTACAGTGACGATGAACACCAAGGCTCACAGAATATACTGTATGATCTATTTATAATGTACTTTGTGAACATAATTTATTCAACAAATGCTTATGCTCAGAGCCAACTCCTATATATAAGAAGTGTTTGTTAATACTCTTGTGGCAATCAATAGGGCCAATTTTATTCTGGGACAGTTCTTACAATAATATTCTTTTTTACAGTCAAAAACTTACTTGTTGGTTCTTTACCAATCCCCAAGAAGAAAAAAAGGGGGAAAACTGGCCCTCACAGTAACTGAAAGTCAGAGATCACATATGTGGAGCAGGAAGGTACCTTTTGTGGTCTTCTAGTCCAACTCCCTCGTTTTATAGATGAGGAAACTAAGACCCAGAGATGTTAAGTGACTTATTTAAGGTCACAAAGTTAGTAAGCAGCAGAGGCAGGATTTGAACTCAGATCCGATTGTAAATACAACTTTTAACTGCACTACATTCTTGAATGGTGATGGTCTTATTATGAATGAGATAGAACAAAGAGATATATAGAAAACTCCCATCTTCTCACTTCTATAGTACTCACCGTCTCTCCTTCCTTCTTCTTTGTCAACCCAGAGTAAGCTTCAACAACTCCAAGATGGTAGAGCTGCCTGACAAGGGACAGTGCACAAGACTGTGCTGCCAGCTTTTTATTCGAACCATGTTCACGTGCAAAAATCCCTGTAACGTAACAGCATACTTGTAAGATCCACAAAGATACTGTTCCTGGGCCAGTAACTAGGATCTACTATGTTCAGAACCACCATTTAGACAGTATTACAAAGAATACAGCACAGGAGAAATGCCCTTTTCTAACTATTTTACCAAAGCTTGTTAGATAACTCCACAGTGTAGTACCACCTGAGATATAAAATATGATTTATATAAGTAAGCTGTTTTCCTAGTTCAGATCACTACTATAACATAAAGCATTTAAAAAAAAAAAGGAACATAAACATAATCCACTTAGTGGCCAGATTAGTTCAATTAACCCCGGTAATCAAGATGGAGACAGGTATCAAATCAAGTGCAGGGGCGCTGATGCTTAATCTATTATTTGTTTCAAGTTAGAAAAGAGTATATAATATTCTTCAAAAGCCATTCCAAAGTTCTATTCTAACAGAAAATTCTTCCATGTAACTAATTTAAATAATATAAGCTCTTGATTTAAAGAATCAGTTTTGATAGGAGCCTCAAAAGATCACACAAACTCCCTCAGATGAGGGAGATGAGAAGAGTCTTGGAGAGCTTAAAAGACTTACACAGTCATACTTACTAATTACTATTAGAATTAGAACTAAAACACAGACCACTTGACTCCCAATCCAGTACTCTTTTTCATTTACAACTTACATTCATGTAATGCTTTAAAATTCACAAGAGAATTAGTGAGCACAAGTATATCTAGATTACATGTGAAACTGAGGCTCAAAGAGGTTAAACGATTTGCCCATGGTCACAAAACTAGTAAATGTGGTAACTTCATCCCTTGAGATCAATCAGTATGTTTAGCATATAATAATCATATTATTAATCTCTTTTATCAAGCAACCCCAAATTATCTGGTATTTGTTCAAAAGGTCTGAATTCTCATTCTTTCTTTACATTGATGGCCTTCAGCTGAAGTTTATGTTATACCATGGCAACATCAACTGGTAGGGACAACTAGAGATATTTTGGATCATTTCAAAGTTGGCACAGAGCAGGCACTTATGATATAGCGCCCACTTATAACTGATCTCAGCACCTCACTTATCTTTTCTGTCCCCCAAACTGCTAACTCAGTCATTTCTTGTCCACCACCATCGTTATGCATTTATTCTGAATTTTTAAAAATCAAATAGACTTAACCCAGTTCAACCCCTCTTTCCACAGATGAAGGAAGGCCTAAGGAGATTAAACACTCATCATCCAAGGTCCTAGCTGGTTAGTGGCAAAGCCAGAGCCTTGAGAGTAAAGTGTGGGTGGTTTTATTTTACTTCTCCTTGAACCACATGTGACTTAATTATGACCATACATGGAACCAATTTATTCAACTCCATTTGTATTGAGACTACCCACCAAGTCTCAGCAAACCTTATAAAACTTAAGGTCATCTGAAAACTTAATGAGTATGTGTTCTGTCATGTTGAAATAAAAAATTTGTGGCAATAAAAATAATCCAAAGAGTACTTTGTCTAAAAACACTTATGAATTTGGGAAAGAATATCATTAGCTATCAAACAGAAGAGGAATTAGCTGGCATGGCAGGTTTAAAATGTTTAATGAGTTGAAAAATCCTGGAATTTTTCAATGGGAAAAAGGAAAAAATCCAAAGAGGGAAGGTCACCAAGAAGCATGTCAACTTAAGAAGCGCTTAAGGGGTTGCAAGTGGAAAAAGTTTAAGAAACCCTGAATAAAGAATCGAAGGGGAAAAAAATGTCTTAATACCAGTCTTTTTCTTAAAGTCACTGCATTAACACTAACAATCATAAATGTAAACAGCTAATTTCTGCATAATTACAACATGGACAAAACTGAGAGGATACAGGGAATGGGACTCTTAAATGGAAATTGTTATTACGATTATCAAATCCCAAGAATAGTCTAGTCAGAGCTGAGCATCAGTGCCTTACACTTGTATTCACAAATTCAGTACTTGCCAATTTAGTAGAATCTGATCCTTTATGTCTTCAAAAGCAGTTTCTATCCCTCATTCTTAATAATTTGTCATCAGTACTGGCAACTCTCTCTCCATTCAGCTTAAGTGAACTGTCGTCAATCAGCAGTTAGTTACACTTAATTTAGGTAGCTGTCTCTCTAAGCCCTTGCTGACCAAGGTGCTGTCACTTGATTCCTTTTTTATTTCATCAGCCCATAAAGAGAAAATTCTCAAATTACAGAAACTCAAAGATCTCTCTTCAACGCTATATTAAGTAACATTGGATTTTGTTTCACTTAAGGCAATTCCTCTCAAAAATTTTGCCCCCTTTGCTATTACGGAATGTTTTGCACCATCTATAGTAATCTTGTCAATTCTTTTCTGTAGTCAATCTGCCTAAATAATCAATTAAAAGAATGACTTTGTGCTCAGAGAGGGTAAGATAAATACATATACCCTCAGATTTTTCCTTCGAAGCTGGCAGATTAGTAGATATGAAAATCTGAAACACTGTCATCACTCTCTCTGCACTGATATACTACATGAATGATATATTCATGGCTGTTTCAACATGTAACGAGGTTCCAAGGTATCTCTGAATTTCTATATTAAATAGACTACTACAGTACATAGAGTAGTCAATGATGATAATAAAGGTCAACGAAGTCTTTTAATGAGGCAGCATAACAAAACAGTTGAGTGCTGACTTGAAACCTGCAGAACTGAATTTGAACCCTTCCTAATATGGCCTACTTTTGCGACCACAAGGCAAATCTCTAAACTTCTTCGAGCCTCAATTTTCCCATCTGGAAAGTAAGGATGGTTAATACCTATAGTACCTACCTCACAGGATTTTTTGCAAGTATCAAATGAAATAATTTATGTCAAGTAGTATGTAAACCTTAAAGCAATATATGAATGCCAGCTATTATGAACTGTTAGTACCAGTATAAAGGAGCAGAGGAATAGAAGCACTTACTTCTGCCCAGCTGCTTGACATAAATGGTCATTTCTGCAATAAAGCTCCTGTAACAATACATACACAGACAAGGTTAGTGATTCCACTACTAAAAAAGACTGAACCCAGGGTTCCCCAAACAGCCAGGCTTTCCAACTGCTTAGGCAAATCTTGGCAAAACCCCACTGTAAAAAATTTACTCCTGTTCAACCCTAGAACAAATTATGTGCATTAGCCTCAAATAATACAACACAGTACAAGACAACTATAGTCTATATGAAGAGCCAAATGCTCTTGAAAAGAAATTATCTGAGTTTTGGTTCTATGTTTGTTTACTCCAATCCGAAAGAAAAGAGAGTAGCCAGCAAGGCTTCAGCGCAAAATGAGCTTTCCACATGGCCTGAGACTAAGGAATAAAAGCAGGCTGACAATTCTTCTGCTAACGCAGACTGTGGTTCTTTCAACAAGATTCCTCGGTATGATACAGCCTACTATTGACTGTAGCAGTGACCTGTTTAGAGACAAAACACATACTCTCACACACGCACACACCCACACAGAGGCTGCACATCAGTGGCTCCAAGAGAGACAGGATTCTGGGATCTGCCTGCAGTTGGAAGTAGCCCTTGATAGCACACAAAGCACCAGTAATATTCCACTAATTTAGTGTCCTGGAGAATAAAAATAAAAACCAATTTCTAGAAACTATTTCTGAACTTGCTAAGGAATTACAGGGCATCAATCCAGGGTTTAAAGAAGCTGCCCTCTGAAAACTTTTCTGGCACTTTTCCTACTCAGGTGGGACCTAGCCTTGACGTTGTGCTGTAAATAAAACAGGTTTCATGAGGCTTTAAAACCAATGTTAGACTCCTTCCTGTACCACTTGTGAACTGACCTTCAGGCACAGCGGCTTCATGGGTCAAAGGCCACTGGCTCTCAGGGGCACAACATCCACCCTTTCATTAATGACACCGATGCCAGTATGTTTCTCAGCCAGGCTTATAGTCAGCACTCAATCTCATTCTCCTCCACCTAGGGGGAACAGCGACACCAGAAATCAGTTTACAATAGTCTCCCATGTGATTGCTTAGTACGGCCTAAGCAGCAGCACATGTGTGATTAACACAGACCTCTGGTGTTGCTGTCTGCTATGATTTTTATATAGGACATGAGGAATCATGCCCATGATTGTTAGCGGATCCCCCAAATTGTTTATGTCTCCCATTTGCTGCCTCCAATTCTTAAATTCACATTCTTCGTATCAGAAGTCACTCATGAGATGTTACGAATCCATATTTATACAACAATGAGCTCCAATCAGTCTTGTATACCTTATTAAAGCTATCAAGTGTTAAGCTCAGTCAGTTCTGATGCAAAGTAAATTTTCTTTCTCCTCCTTGGAGAAGAAATAAAGCATCAAGAATGAAAATTCACTTCTTTCTTTTACATACCTTCTATTCCAATGTTATTTTTAATTTTCTGATACCAGAAAGAAAATGTTTTGAATTTCTTAGGATTAACAAAACATTTGGGGGGAGCCATGCTTTCAACATAGCATTTAGATGCTTTTTATTAAAAAATTTATTTCAATTTTTCTTTTGTGGTTGCTATATGCATCCCAGGGAGTCATATCCACAAATTTAATTTCCCTTGCCTTTTTCAAGGAAAACCTTTCAATGTACGAATTTTGAAAAATTTGAAAGACATCCATTATTATTGGATATGCCAGAGTGTTTTTTCATCACAACCTCCCCATTTTCCACAATATGCTGCTCCCCATAAGAGTCTAATCCATACGAGCCTTCCTGGGAGTAATAATTAATACACCCTGGAATGCTCTCTGGAAGAACAGCAAGCAGGCTGAGAAACATACTGTCACCACCACAACCGCCTCCCCCTTACATTCACCATTATAACAATACTGCCACACACGGGAGGCCTACAGCATAGATGACTTTAAAATAACCTTAACCACAAGGCTTCACCAAATCTAGCTTTTATAGTTACAAATCTGATAATCAGCAATAGATTTTTGAAAAGCATTCAATATCATTAGCAAGACTACTGAGGGAGATGCCCTAAAATCCTCATGAAAACAGCCCAGCAACTAACATAGACAAAACCATAAAGCCCCTACATATGCCAATTGAACACACATGCAAAAACAAGGCTTTCCTTAATCACCTTTCAAACAAGGCTCTCAATTTCAACAGGGATCTTTAAGAGGACTGGCCACTGTGAAAGTGGAAAATATTGAAGTGCCATTTGGTTGCACATTTAGGTGCAATCTAACCTATGTACGGGAAACCTCAGATGTTAAAAGAAAAAAAAAAAGGATACCACTTTAAAGGTCACCTCTGACCATCTAAAATGGCCAGGCTGTGATGAAGGTCAGTGGAAACCAACAATACAGGCATTATCTTTATAAATCTTTTAAGTCAGCCAGGACCAAACCATTCAGATCCACCAACTTTGCCTTCCAATCCCCCAAATCAGCACCTTGAAGGTCTGACATCACAGACAGCATTTCTGCTGAGAAATGGACTTCTATCACATCTAAAGTCATGTTTTCCAAATGCCCGACATGACAACTTGAACCAATGGAAATTCTTGTACTAAGTAAATTATCTTATCAAATGTCACCTTTGCTGATCCAGAAGCCAAACCAGCCAACACTTACATAAAATAGCCTTCAACAAAACTATCCCCTAAACTTAATTCTAACTTACTATAAAAGGAAAAGAGCGAAACAAGCAAACCTGTTGTGATCAGGACCCACTTGGGTGTATTTATATTCTCCCTGGACCTTCTCCTTTTGGAAAAATTGGTTCAGCCGAGCCTTAGCATTTTCCAAGGTCCAGTTTCCATGAAGACCAGCATTTAAGTCCACTTCTTCTGATTCTAGAGTCTAAGGATTAAGACAATCACTGCAATTATATGTGGCCACTATTGTTAGCTACGTAGTCCAAGTTTATATTCAAGGTTCTGAATAGTTTATTATTGTCAAACTGAAAGTTTAGGACATTTTAAATAGTATACAAGTTTTAATCTGGTTCTAATACGCAGTTAATATCATACAGAAACATATACCTAGAAAAAAATTTTTTAAATCACAAAATGAAGTTTTTCATCATTCTAGTTTATCAATTAGACAATTCTACCTTCAAAGATAATAGCATAGATTAGGAGAACAGTAAGTCTTTAAAAGGTTATTTTTTAGAATAGCCATAACTGTTATTGTCTATTACCAGATTCCAGTTTCCTAATGCATTTCCACAGGACTTATCAACCAAGTTATAACCTGGTTGGAATCTGCAATGATAAGAATACTAATGAAATCAGATATCTTTTATGCTTAAATCTGGTTGAATGCATATTTAGTACATTATGTGATTCCTCAAATTGCCATTTAAAAGAATTACCCTATTTAATCTACAAATATCATTAATTCTTAGCTAAGACCTTTCTTAAACAGCTTAAAAGATTTAAATTGCACTTCTAGAAATGGAAACCACAGAAGCTGGCTTACCGCTTGTACTTCTTGCTCCTCCTTTCTGGAGTAGTAATCCTTTAAGTTGGCTCCACGATCCCATGTGCCACCAGGACCAGTACCAGGGCCATAACCAGAGCCTCCAAGTCCTGGGGTACCATCTATAAGGAAAGAAAATCATTACCTTTCAGAGAGTGAAAAAATGGGTAGTTTTTTGAATCGTTGCATTAATAATCTAGGATAAAAAGCAATTAGGTGTTTCAAAGAGAAAATTAAATAGTACAGGAATCCCAACAGAGTAATTCTAACCTGTGTCATATATTTGGAGGATGGGAAAAAAGAAAAGGCAAGATAGAGGACCACTGAACCTTTGGAACTATGCAACAGATTCTTCCCAGAGAAGAATCTTCTGAGGAACTAGCAGCTCTTGAGCTCCCAGGAATTAAAGTGTAGATCCACAGGTACCCTCAAAACAAATGGCATTCAGTAATACTCTGAAGAAAAAAAACAGTGGCAAGAAGTGATCTGTGCTGAGGGGATACATTTAAGAAGCCATGTTAATGTGAAACAAAGCAAAATGTGCTGTCTTTCTGAGGCAATTTATGAAGGATAAGCTAGAAAGCCTCCTTAGAATTGTCACACTTATAATTACCTAATTGTAAGGAAATCACAGAGGGATAAATCATACAACAAGAAGCTAGAAAGCACTGAAGGGAAAAAGAAAAACTTTAAGGACCAAGGTGATATTTTTACCACTGTAGCAAAAGGTCAAGATGAAGTAGATCAGGGGCAGCTAGGTGGTGCAGTGGTCAGGAGGACCTGAGTTCAAATCCAGCCTCAGACTGATGACACTTACTAGCTGTGTAACCTGGGCAAGTCACTTAACTCCACCTGCCTCACCAAAAAGCAAAAAAAAAAAAAAAAAAAAAAAAAAAAAAAAAAAAAAAAAAAAGAAGAACTATGAGGTGAAGAGCTGGTAAAGACTGTACCTGGAAATGGAATTTACATTTTGGTCTATGATTTGATATACAGAAAATAAGATCTTTGCCAAGTATGAAAAGCACCTGACAAGGGCCAGAAGAAAGACATTTTCCTAGAGTATCTAGACAATCTAATCAAGAGGCCTTCATAATGCAAAGGGAAGGAAGAAAACCATCCACTTGTCTACCAAGCCAGATACTACTGAGTAGCAGATAGAACAAAGGAAAAAGAGTACCAGTAGATAAAAGTAGTAATTCACAAGTGATTGCAATCTAGGAAGGGAAGAAATGGTCTCAGAAACATATAGATGGTAATCCCAAACACCTTGGGGATACCCCATATACAAATAAGCAATAAACAACTTTTCCAGGAGGTAAATTTGACATCTCAGGAACAATGAAACTTTTAAATGATTGGATTCCTAACTAGGAAATGGATAAAACCTTATTGAAAAGGCAGAAGTTCAAGAGGTGACAGGGTAACTTAAGATGTGTTCTTGAGGAAATTCAGAAGCGAAAGTGGGAATCCACGAAGACAGCAAGACAGAAGAAACAGATGAGTACAAATGCAGTGCAGTGTAGTTAAAGTACTAGATGTGGAGTTAGAATTTCTGTCTGATTCATGGATCTGCCACTTACTGCCTGTGTGACATGTATGGAAAAACATTTATAATTAATCAACATCTATTAAGCACCTACTGTGTCAGGCACTGTGCTAAACTCTGTGGATTAAAAAAAAGAGACAAAAGATAGTTTCCACTGTCAAGGAGCTCACAATCTAATGGGGGAAGATGAGAAATAAATATATACAAACAAGTTATATACAGGATAAATTAAGGAAAGTACTAGAATTAAGAGGAGGTTGAATAGCTTCCTGTAAAAGATGGGATTTTAGATGATACTTGAAGGAAGCCAAGGAAGGCAGTAGACGGGGAAATAAAGGGGGAGAGGATTGTAGGCATGGGGGAAGAGCCAAAGAAAAATTCCAGGAGTCAAGAGATGGAGTGCCTTGTTCATGGAACAGCAAAGAGGTTGGTGCCACTGGATTGAAGAGTACATTTTGGGGAGTAAGGTGTAAGAAGACTTGATGGAAAAGTAGGATGGGCAAAATTCTGAAGGGTTTTATACACCAGAAGATTTTGTTTCATTTGGGGGGCAGGGGATGGCGGCAACAGGGAGCTACTGAAGTATGGAGGTGACATGACTGGACCTGCACAGTAGGAAAATTGCTTTGGTGGCTGAATGGAGGATGGACTGGACTGGTGAGTAACTTGAGGCACACAGATCCACCAGCAGGCTCCTGCAGTAGTCCAGCTGAAAGGTGATGTGAGTGCAACAGGGTAGCAGAAGTATTAGAGAATGTGAGTATCCAAGAGATATTGTAAAGGTGATAGTGACGGGCCTTGGCAACAGATTGGATGGGGTGGTGGTGAGAGAGAGTGAAGAGTCAAGGATGACACCCATGTCATAAGCCTGAGGGACTGAGAGGATGGAGTTGCCCTATAACAGGGAAGGTAGGAGGTAGATAGGCTTAAGCGGGGAAAGATAGTATGTTTTATTTTGGACAGATTGAGTTTAAGATGTCTACTGGACATCCAATTCAAATATCTTGGAGATTTGAGACTGGAAGTTAGCAGAGAGGTCGGGGTAGGACAGGTAGATTTGAGATTATTAGAGATGGTAATTAAATCCATGGCAGCTAAAGAGATCCCCATTATAAAACAATTAAGAGCTCTCCAAAAGTGGATTACTATGTTTTGGAAGTAATAGGTTTCCATCGAGCAGGTACTCTTTAAATGGGAGAGTAAATTACCATTTGGTGAAGAATGTTGTAATGAGAGTTCTAGTTCAGATTTGGCCTGGACTAATTGATCCTGAAGATCCTTTCACCTCATTCAGTGATCTATTATTAAACTACTATGTATAAAGCACCATGCCAGGCCCTATCTTACAGAAAATCCTTAATTCACTGTCTTAACACACAAGTGTTATCCTATCTGTTGCCCTTCTAAGTAATAGAGACTTTTTTTTTGACAGCCAAAAACAAAGTTTATTGAAGATTCGCCATATCAGCTAGACTCTTAAGGGGTCTGAGCATCTACAGGCTATTGGCTAAATTGTGAAAATCCATGCCTGTAATAGAGACATTTTGAGAAAGGAGTATTTTTATAAGGGAAGAAGATACATACATACAAATTTATGACCCTTACCTGATTGCAGAGACAGATGAGGAGGAAGAGGTCCTCCCAAACTAGATGATAAATTTCCACCACCACCCTCTGCTGAGTCAGTTGTATCAGTAACTGGGGGTGCTATCTGCAGAAGAGAAAGCTATAAATTTAAGTGCCTCTAATTTCATAAGGAATAGCAAATCCTTTAAAATCCTGGCTTAGAAAACTCTCGTGATTAATTTTTATGACAAATTTTAACTTTTCCTAGTTACATTTACTGGTAACAATATTAACTATGTACAGTATCTTGGAAGACTAACATTCTGGACACTCCTGCATCCCTCAATGTGGTTAGCAACTGCTACAAAACAAAGGGGGTGGGGGTCAGTTGAGATAATCTATTGTATTATGAAGCAACTTCTTTAAAGTACCACTTTAATGTAATGGACAGGGCCAAATCCACTCCATAAACAGATTTCAAAACATAAAAATCACTGTCTTGTATTCAAGCTCAGAGTGACATGATCAGAATGGTACAGAGAAAGATAAATGGATTAGTAATGTGAGGAAGGAAAGTACTAGAAAGTAGAAAGAATAATTAGGAGGTTATTACAATAACTAACCCAGGCAAGTAGAGTTAAGGGCCAGAATTAGGAAATGCTATGGTTAGAGTATGTTAAGAGTAAAGGAAGAATATAAGAAATACTGAATAAGTAGAATCTAGTTTGGGGGTGAGGGAGAGAAAAAGAAGAGTAAAAAAATGATATCAAGATTTCTACTCTGGGTGACTGGAAGGACAGTGGTATCACACAGGGAAACAGAAGCTAGGAAGGGGGTTGGGTTTGGGAGGATAATGATGATAACTATATTAATAAAGCTGGAGAGGGGTAATACTTAAGAAAGATACTTAAGTATCAACAAAAAGGAAAGAGAATGGAACAAATGTTTATCCCCAACCACGTTAAATATATGTACAGATGTACAGAAAAACCCAATAAAGGATTACTATTTTGTTCATAATAAAAGTACCTTTTACTAACTTATTTTTTTCATAACGAAGCTCTTAATAAAGATTGTCATGATAATGTGTAAAACATAAGAGAGGAATTCAGGGATTTCCTCAAGATCCCAAAGCAGGTAAATGCTAAAGTAGAACAAAATTCAAAACTTTTGAAACCTAGTTCAGGACCCTGCTGCTGTTTGTAGCAATGCTAAAGTATCCGAAGGAAAATTTTTAAATGCTTGAAAGTAGACAAAATTAGTATCCTAGAGTTTCCCCATGTAATTGGACAAAGGTAATTTTATACTTACTCCAATAGCTGGAACTTCTTCACTCTTAACTTCATTCACTCGAACCAAGTAGTTAACAAAATCTCTGGCAGCATTACTCTGAGCATCTTTCTTATTGGTGGAATTGCCCATACCAGTATAATTAAAACCTTCCACTCGAACCTGAAACAGAAAAAAAAAATTACTTCATAGAATAAGTAATAAGAATAAATATAATGATAATAAAGAATGCGAACGTTAGTAAATGCTAACAATAGCTAATCTCTAGAATAGCTCTCTACAAACTTTGTCTCTACAAATCCTTGGCAAATATATAAATTCACCGTGTAAGTGCTTAAATAATCATGCACAGCATTTGGCTAGGGGAAAAATTACCACTAGTCTAGATCCTTTACTCATGTATTAGCATATTCAGTACCAAAATTTGGATAATTCAGTGAAAGAAAGCTTCCTTTGTATCTTACTAAAGCAAGCACTTATGTATACAATAATCAGAAGTCTCCAACTCTTGAAGTAGTTAATAGACCAAGTCAGCACATAGTTGACAGACTGCTGCACTTTCATTAGTCTCAATTCCCTTGTTCTGTCCTACTGGTATGGACAAGGGAGTCTCCTGTCAATATTTAAGTATGTCTAAGCTGGTATCCCAACACACAGTTCAGCAAGTAGACACAGACAGGACAGACACCTTACCCACCCCCACCCCACTTCCTTCCCTTCTTTGAATAGAAACTTCATTTCTTATAGGTCACATAAACCAAAATCGTATTGTTTTAGTACCTCACACATGAATTTCTGTCTGTTCTTATTCCCCACTGCTCTTATTTCATAGGTTGGAGTCATTTTCCTTTTCCCACACCATGCATACAGGAAATTTTTGACGTCACCCATGATGCAGGTGTCTTGTTAAACCTTGAGAAAGAAAATGGCAAAAATGTAAATAAATTCAAAACACCAGTAAAATGCATATCACTGTCATACACAAAGAGAGCAAGGTACTTTAACATACAAATAAATACAAACTTGGCATATTTTAAAAAATGTATATAAAACATTGTGTTATTCGACTATGTGCTTTCATTCTGCCTTAAGACTTAAGCTAAAGTCTATGCACAAATTTAGTAAGTTAATATTATATTTAGGTCATTAAGTACATGAACTACAGATGCTGGACAACTAGTAAGCTCCTGCTCCAGTGTAATACTAGAAGTCCCATCCCTTTCACACTCCTGAGTCATCAGAAACACATTTACTGAAATAATTTTAGTGTGCTTTGGGAACCAGAAAAAGGATACCCATGGTACATCATTTTATATTACGAACAGAGGTAAAGTAGCCAATTGAAAATTCTGTACTAAAAGACACTGGATCTAATTTTCTCCCTGGCTGAGATGCCTTGGGCAAATCACTTTAAGCTCAGGGGGAAAGGGAGGCACTCGATTATTTCAGAAATCCCTTTTTCCAGTTCTATGACCCATTAGCTTACAAGTAATCACCCTTTAACTTGTTTGTAAATTCGAAATTTATATAAGAGGCTTTCTTCTGGGTAAATAATATTTTCATGGTGGTCTCCACTACTAACGATACAATGGTTTCTTGCACGCCAAAAATCTGGCCCCAAAACACAGGTATCCGAAGATGCTGAGAAATATGCCTTTCTTAAGTTACTGGTAGAGAATAGTTACACCATGGTCTTAAAATTATCATTTGCATCTGGTTAGCTACAAAACCTGTGGAGACCAGGGCTTTTGACCCATAACACTGTTACAAAATTAATAATAAAGAGCTTGACCAACGTATGTGTGGTCCATTGCAAAACTAAACCTACTGACCTAAAGATTAAAAAAGCGCATGCTGTTTAAGTGGATCATGGGTAATATTCATGTCTTAAAAAAAAACAAAACAAAACAAAACAGTACACAGCGACCAAGACTGAGAAAGTAGGAAAGTGACAGTAATCACAGTTATAAGAGTTTGTTACCGTGCGTATGTTATAGAGACTAGGAGCTCATGGAAACAAACAAGGGGTCCTGTGCCATAATGAGATTAAAAAATACACAAGTTTGAGTTTCTATCTGGGGGAAAGAGTAGACGGCAAAGGTACCTGATTCCCAAAACACACGTCCACTTCTCTCACACAAACTTGAGGTAGTAAAAAGGTTACTTAACTACGTGAGCAAAGTTCCTTGACGGCGCATGCGCAGAGGCACGAGAACGCGCATGCACAGTAACATCCGGGACTCTGCGAAGGCTACCCTACCCCCACCCCTCCTCACCCGCGCTTAGCGACAAAGCGGTAACAGCAAAGAAGCAAAAAAATAAACCAAAACAGTCCCCGCTCACTCATCCTCACCACGTCCAAAGGCAAGAATGACTCCCCTTTCTTACCGTCTTTCTCCCCGTGTTTCCAAGTGCTGCTCTTCCGAAAGTCGCGCGTGGTTCAGTTCCTTTAGAGAGGCCCCACAGACACACGCAACCTCCCGCGCGCAGCCCGTCGCGAAATGGCTCCTACTGCAGCGGAAGACGGGAAGCGGAAAGAAAAGTTGCGCGTGCGCTTAAGTGGCATGGGGGCGGGGAACGTGACCAAAGACGCCAAATACGCCGGGGTGGGCGGGGCTCGTTGGAGAGTGAAGCCAATAGGGAGAGCTATCGTCGTGGGTGGGCGGGGCTATCGCTCGGTAGAGCCCGTTATTTCTCTGGAGGCGGGGCCGATGTCCGTTTGTGGCCGCTGCCTCCCTTGGGGGAGGACTTTGGACATCGGACCCGAGTCTCACTGCCGCCACTGAGGCCTTTTTGTTAGCATTAAGATTGCCTTTGATAAGATTGCGTGCCACGTATTGTGCGAAGAGAGGCCAGGATTTTTCGTGGAAAGAACACAGGCCTAGGAAAAGGCCAACCTGGGCACAAGGCCCAGCTCTGCAGCGAATTCATCACGTGACCTTGGGCAAGCTAGGCCTCAGTTTCCTCTGACCACACTGTGGGGGTTGAACCAGATAATCTCCTGGGTTCATGTTTTTTTTTTTTTTTCCCCAAGCTAAAACAGTAACTTTAGGGTGTTAACACCAGAAGGCACGTTAGTGATGAAGTAGGCTACCCTTTCCCTCCCCATTTCTACATGTAAAGAAACTGAGGCATAGATAGGCTTTAGTGACTTGCCAAAGATGCAGAAAAAGGATTCTAATTGTGATCCTTTGGTTCCACATCGAATGTAGTGAACTGCATTAGGACGTCTCCTTGATAGGACTGAATTTTCCCACCTATTTCAAGGGACCAATTCAGTCATATAAAAACATGCCTGTGTTAAGGACTTAACTCTGTGCTGGGAGCTGTTCAGGTGCTTGAGATGGAAAGCCAAGGACAAGATAGTTCCCGCTTTGAGGAGTTTACAGCCTACTGGGAGGGTAAAAACTTGTGCAGAGCTAAGTTAATACAAAAGATACCAAAATAAACATGGACTGATTTTAGTGAAGAGAAAAGGAAGAGCCTCTTGGAGAATATGGCACTTTAAGGTAACCCTTTAAAAGAGGCAGAGGTGAGGGAGACAAGGATTCCAGGAATAAGGGACAGGAGATGGAATATCTTGTACAAGGTGACAGCAAGTAGGCCAAATAACAGGAACATAGAGTTCCTGAGAAGAAGTAAAGTGTAATCAGCCTGGAAAGATAGGTTGGAGATAAACTGTGAAGGGTTTTACTGCTAAATATCTACTAAATACTGTAAACTATTGTGACTGCAATAAAAGGAATAATGTTGTGGAGTCAGTTTATGATACAGACACAAAAACCCCAGCAAAATGCTTTTAAGAATTGTAAACAAGGAAAATAAAATGAAGACAGTGTAAAAAATAATAGCCAACTCTGAGAACAATTATCTTTGCAGATGTCCTATAATTCTTTTTATCAAATCCTATAATCATGATGAACTAATTATATTACAATTTTGAAGAAAATAAATTTATTCACTTATATGAAAGAAGTTTTCACTACAAAAGCTAAATAAATGTACATTACTGTTCACTCTTATTTAGGTTAAAGAGATAGTGATAAGTAAAAAAATATACTTTTCACTTACATTTTTCTTCTAGACATTAGTGTAGGGGAACCCCTGTATTCTGAAGTTTCATAGAATAAACTCTCAGAGGGACCAAAGAAAGGTCGATCTTTTGATTAGCCCCCAATATTGAAACCTATTGCCTTAGGTGCCTGAGTAGTTAATGACAGTATATGTCATAGTTAGTCTTTGCAGACATAGAGGACTGTATACATAGAATATTGCATATTAACATAGATACTTTTGACAAGTTTTTGAATTTTCCCCAATTTTTTCCCTCTTATTCTTTGTTATAAGGGATGACTTCCTATATATTAGGAAATATAAGCAGCATTAAAACAAGAGCTATTAATAAAAATTGTATTTTAAACAATAATATTTTGCATGACTGTGAATGGATCTATTTGGTTAGAAGAGCTGTTTGTTCCTCAAAGAACAGAACTAGGCTCAATGGGTAGAAGTTAGAAAGAGGCAAATTTAGGCTTGATGTCAGAAAAAACTTCCAAATAATTATAACTATCTAAAAATGAAATGAGCTACCTCCAGAAGTGGTAGATTCCCTCTCCTTGGAACTCTTCAAGCAGGGAGAATAAAGTATGATGACTTTTAAGGGATTAGAACAGGGGTCCTTAACCTTTTTTGGTTAGGGCCCTCTTTGGCTGACTGTTGAAGCTTATGGGCCCCTTTCAGAATAAAGTCTTTAAATGCATGAAATAAAATACATAGGATTACAATGGAAACCAATTATATTGAAATACTACTATATTTTTTTAAAGGTCACAAACTCCAGTTAGACTCTGGCCTTTCTGAAGACATCTCCAGTTCCAGCTACACAGCCAAACAAAAAAGGCTTCTCTTAACCACATGGTTAATAGACCAGTACCAGTTCCAGAATGTCAGTGTGAGGTCAAGTTTTTCCAAAGTATTTCTATTACATGTCATGGTGCCACTCTGTGCATATTCCAGTCATCTTACATATGTAAAACATTTTGCAAACCTTAAAGCATTATATAAATGCTAGCTATTAAAGACAATGCAGAATATCATATGATTGAGAAAGATGCAAATCAAGTATGAAGTGAGGTTGAAGATGGAAGACTAAATATTTTTTCTGATCCCTACAACCTCTTAAACCTCTCTAAAACAGAAATTATGTACCAAAGATAAAGCAACTTCAGCTGTTCCCATGCTCTAGAATCCAAAAGAAGAATAAAAAACTGTTCACTCAGCATCCTTCCCCCACCTCCCATGCTACTGGCAGTGAGGCTACTAGGACCCAACACAGACTTGCAACAAAACCTAACTCCAAACTTTGGTTGTCGCTCCCCCCCACCCCAACTCCATTTTCCCAGTGCTTTGGGGACCCTGGATCCAGGTTGCATAAGTTTGCTTGGACTCTGACAGCCAGTCAGTATAGTGGGAGCCCTTCAGAAGCAGAAGCCTGCTGGGGGGCATGACAGACAGTGCCATGGCAGACAATCCTGCACCACCAGACCACAAAGCTCTGTACTCCTAGTGTCAGACCAGAAAACTGAGGAATAGAAAGAATGGGACAGGACGCCAAAACAATATACTATGTGTGTGGACGTACTGTGTAGCATTCTACTAACTCACAGAGAAAGAGCTTGGAATCCAGCTGTGGCCATTTATGTCAATTCAAAGGTCACTCGGGGCAGAGACCTAGGCTTATGAATCATGAATTGCACAGTGTGGGAGGAGGCTGAGTCACTTTGAAATCCAGCCCTCAAAGAAACTACCACCAGAGAGGGCAGAGTCAGAAAGTAAGCAGTAGGTGAAAATAAGGGGAAAAGATGGAAATGAACTTAGGATGAAGAAAACTCAAAGACCATGAACATAAGAAGATAAATCAACAAGGAAAACATTAACAACAGAAGGAAACATTGCTTTTAGATAGAGTAAATTAGTTCAGGCATCTATGAATAAATACTATAAAACAAAGGAAAATGATCCAACACTTAATGAGACAGAAGACCTTGTGGAATGTAAGGAGAACATGGAACCACAACATCCTGGTCTTGAATGGTTCAAAAGAGAAATAAGAAAGCAGAATTTATGGCTTGTATAGCAAAAATAATGGTCAGAATAGGAGAACTAGTATCTGTGATCGCAAGTATCACAAAAGAAACAAAAGAGAGAAAAATAAAGTGGAAATGCAAATATGCAGAAATGAAGGACAATCTAGAAGAAGAAAAGCAAAAACCAATCACATTAAAAGAAAATATGCTCACCATTATGTAAGAAAAACATACTGATCTTGAAGACAGGCCATGTAGAGACCACCTAAAGATCATAAGTCTCCTAGAAGAACACAGTAGGAAAAAAAAATCTTCAATACTATAATGCAGGAAATAATAGAAGAAAACTGCCCAGATTTTCTGAGCATAGAAAATGAAAGAGCAATTGAAAAAATCCACAAATTGGTCACCTCCAGAAAAAAGTCCTAGGCTACAAATTCCAAGACTCAGTAGTTAAATTTGACACTTCAATTCAGAAACAAGTTCTGCAAGTGATCAAGAGAAAGATCTTCAGATACAAAGGAAAAGAAAATTGGATAACACAAGACTATTCTGTACTCACCACAAAACACAGGAAGGAATGGAATAGTGTGTTCTGAAGAGCAGTGGAGCTCAGGATGCAACTTATGGTGACCTACACAATAAATATTGGCTTAACCATAAAATTAAAAGATGGACATTCAATAAGAAAGAGATGTGTGAAACATTCTTCGAAAGAATACCAAATCTGAAGTGATTATTTGCTTCTCAAATACCCCAAACAACAGAAATGCAGGAGGAATGAATAAATGCAGCAATCAAAGAAAGCAACAGCAACAGAGTGACAGTAGAAATGCCAGTATAAGACTTCTTTCTAAATGTTCAAAAGAAAACAGGGGTGTCAGTGGGAGTCCATGAGAAGGAACAGTGAAAAGAAAGGGTTGGGGCATTATGGACAGAATCTGCTATAGGCATAGAGGGACCTTTTTTTTTTTTAAATATCATAAAAAACATCTATCTAAAGCCAAAAGGAAACATCATCTACAACGGGGGATATATTAGAACCTTTTCCAATAAACATGGGAGTGAAGCAATGATGCCTACTGTTTCCACTAATATTTGATATAGTTCTGGAAACACTAGCTGCAACAGTAAGACAAGAGAGAAATTAAAAGCATAGAAATAGATAAAGAGGTGGTAAAGCTATCCCTATTTTGCTGATGATATAATGGTTTACTTGGACAATCCTAGGGAATCAGCAAAGATACTAATTGAGACACTTAATAGCTACAGCAAAATTACAGGCTACAAAAAAAAAAACAACCCTCAAAAATGAACTACAATTCTACATAATAATAACAAAATCCAAGAAACAATAATAGAAGAGGAAATCCCATTCCTAATACCTACAAAATGAATTAAATATTTGGAGATTGACCTACTAAAGCATATAAACAACGTGTAC